GGACGAATTGATGGACATGCCTTTAATTATTAAACACGGCTGACGGCAGCATTACAGAGATAATGCGAAGAGGAAGAAACCATAAAGTGAGGCAAAGGAATGGCACAGACTGAATGAATGGATGGGTGGATGTATTGATGCATGCATTAATATCTGCATTACGCAGTCCGATGCGACCATCTGATTTCAGAGCAGCGCAGTCAGTGTGAGAGAGAGAGAGAGAGAGAGAGAGAGGGGGAACGCTTTATCAGGTAATCATATTCAGAACACATGACACATGCAGGAACAATGCCATCTGCAACTCAATCTGACTAATGCAGTGTGATGTGCTTCAGATCATTCAAAGCTTTCCGAAGACACAAAACACATCTGAAAGACTTGCATTCGTCAAGACATTAATGTTGCATTCAGATAGAGGAAAAGTCTCGCATGATGACAGCAGGATATGCATGATTCATCTGTATTGAGTTGCGCAGAGTTTCCGTCTTTAAAGGGAGTGACTAGCAGCACTGAACTTGCCAGAGGCCTGACTAAGGGAAATGCAAAGTCCCATTAGCCCGACTTTCCATCTGATTTATGAGTATTTACATCTGTGTGTGTGTGTGAGTGTGTGTTCCCTTCAGAATTATTTCAGCAGGTATTTATAAAACACAACATGTGCAGCTTGTGCACACAGAAAAGTGACAACCCAACTTGTCATGAAAAATACTCTTGCCTGTAAACAGTTCAAACTTTCTGGTAAAATCTATACTTCATTAGCTGTCTCTTTTATTAACTGTATTTTATTTTATAAAATAAAATAATTGATATAAAATAATATAATAATAACATATAATTTAATGTTATATAATATAATATTTTTTTCTATATTCACTTTATTCCATATATATAATTGTATTTAGAGAATAAAAAGATAGGTATAAAGCACTGGATTTTTAGCATTTTATAATGTAGTAGGGTATTGTGTGTGTGTATATATATATGTTTATAATGGGTACATTTAATATATATTTATATTACTAATTTGTATTAATACATATTATATTTATATATTAATAAAAATATATATTTGATATATTAATTATATATATATAATATTTATAATTTTACATAAATACTAAATATACCCAATACATTTGTATTTATTTAGTATATCATTTTCATTAGAAAGTATATACTTTCTAATAAAAAAAAAACAAAAAAATGCACTGCTTTAATACTCTGCTATAAGTTGCCCCAAAGTATTTATTCCCTAAATGAACCAAAAACACTGACTTTGCACTCAAGCCAATAACCTTGTCTGACCTCGGATATCTCGGGGCTTCCATTAGGGCGGTCTGTTTTTGCGACTGAGAAATCGGAGCAATCCTCAATCAGCGCAGCAGACGGCAGAGATTACCCAGACTGGAGCGGCTGTTAATTGCGAGGTGGAGTTTTCCAGCTCCATCATGGCACAGCTGGAGGATCCATGTGAACGATTTTAACATCACGAGATAAAACTGCTTTATGACAGGGAACACGTGGAGATCAGTCTCAGATCCTCAGCATAGGACGCATGTGGTCGGTCAGGACAGGACAGGACAGAGGAACTGCACTGGGCCTGACGCCAGCTCACCCCACCCCAGCTCCAGCCTGCAGAGAACTGCAGCTCCAGAGGGCAATGCAGAGGAGGAGAGAGCAAGGGTACTCCGAGCACAAGACACTCCAATATCATGTTTTCAACTCTCAAGGGAAACCAAATGTGCCTGATGTGGGTGTGTATTAGGGAAGGCAGGCGGTATACGGATTGAAAGCAGGAGATAGACATCTTGTTGACGATGTAAACTGCCCGTTCACATCCTTTTGTTGCCATGTCTGTTCAGTGTGAGCTGGATGACTTGGGGCTTTCTGTTACAATACACATAACCACACAGAAAGCTCCATAGACCGTCCTCAATATCATTATGATCACTTTTTTTTGTCACTAAGGATGTTTTTGATAAGTTTGAATTAAGGACAAAGTGTTCAGCACTGCACTGCATGATATATTCATCATATGTCCTTCATCGTGACTGAATATTTGTCAGTTTCCATAAACAGGGTTCAAACTCTTCTTTTTCATCAATTGGACAATGAAATAAATCATCAATATTCATCAACTCGCACATCAGTTGTGGTAAACGGAAGCTCACGCATGCTTGCTTGATGTGTGAGAGCCAATGAGGTTCTGTTTGAGTTCACTGATCAATGTTTATGCGAATAAAAGCCTAAATTCAATCTGTTCATCATATAAAGCGATTGTGCAAACCGATCTATTCATATGGACTTTTTGAAGCTGTCAATGGAGGGAAAAATAAAAAGATCTTCATTTGTTTTTCAAAGATGAACGAAAGTCTTGTGGGTTTGGAGACATGAGGGTGAGTAAATGATGAATTCTTTTCATTTTGTGGGTGAAATAAGCCTTTAAAACCCTTATTTGTGTCATTTAATAAGCATAACGATAATTATAACATTAAAACAATTTTAAAAAAGCACACAATTATTTGGGTTACAAAGTTAATTGGTTGATTGATTGAATACCGTCAACTGAAGAAAAAAAACTAAAATAATACTATTTACTTGTCATCAGTCATGCTGTAGAAAGTGTGATGTCACTTCCTGCATGTCACAGTTTTTATGTAATATTAATGCAGAAAATCATGCAGCAAACAACATATCTGTTATTCGTGAATAAACTACGTTTTGGTCATTAAAATGGTTTCATAATTTAAAAAAATATATTAATCATATAAAAGTATTTTTTACCGCTAAGCATTGAATATCATTTCAACAGATTATGGTACAATTATGATATTAAAAATATATAAAAAATCTATGCAAGATTAAGAACAAAATAGAAAAACGAATAAAAATAAATTGTAAAAAACATTATGTAAATACACCTTTACAGACTTAACTGATAAAAGTTTTTACTGCTAAGCATTGAATATCATTTCAACAGATTATGTTGAAAGTATGATATTTATCCCATTTTATGGGGGATACAGGCATTTAATGCGCTACTTTTCAAGTTTATTTTATGTTAGTTTATCAAGCATGTAACAACAAAACATTTTGTTGCACCTAATGCTTAGAACAAAAAAATAAAATAAAAAAAAGTAACAGGACACAAAATTGTTGCGCACTCATGAAAAGTGTCATTTACTTGTGTTATCAAAGCTATAGCATTTAGAAAATATACCACAGCCACTGCTTCCAAAAACCAGTAACATACACCTGACAGCTGATAATTAAAAATTTATTGATTTGGATGTATGATCAAATCATATTTGACATAAGAAACAAAAGAACCCTTGCATAGATCACAGACCATGCCTTTGTCAATGTACGACAACATTAAAAAATAATTTAGCATAACAAAGATAAATAAAAAAACGAACGTACAGAAACATGTAAAAGACGACATGAACAGTTTGACCAGATGTACATGGAACAACCATTAACATGGAGTCATCATCTGTCTAACACAAACATGTAGCTGAGATGGCCAGTAATGACTGTATGGACTCTAGTTTTTTTTTTTTTTTTGGCGGAATTGAATGTTTTGTCAAATGCATCATTCCATGACTTGTATCATTCAGCATCCTGAAAGCAAACGGCAAAATCTCAAATGAAGCCGAAATAAAAAAAGAAACACAATACGGAAATCTGATCAGTGGAGTTTGACAGATTAAAGAACTTCCCAAACGAAAGGGAACAAAAATAACATTGGCGTATAAATAATGAAGATGGCTTTAGGAACAAATGACAGCAAGGGCTTAAAAAAATGATGCAACCAGAATATAGTTGATCCTCAGTTTTGAAAGGCTAAGCTCATGCAGTCTTCCATACACCATGCAGATTTTTGCAATTGCTAGGTTGCTGTTGAGTTTTGGTTTGGTATGGCGGTATGGAGTTAAGGTTATTACAAAAAAAAAGTACAATGTACAGTACATTTTCGATGCTAATGCCATTTTTTTTAATTTCATGATATTGATAATACAAGCTATAATCTTCCTATATATTTGTAATGGCTTGTCTCATGGACTCGTTTGTGAGCCTACTGTAGTTTTATCAAGGGCATGGGTTTGTTATAGTACAGTTAACTATAGTGCCACATGGACGTAACATGGTAATATAGCTAGACGAGGCCACGCAGGTGAAGAAAATAAGTATGTCTGACATCCTCCTAAAGGCCACAACCTAGGGATCCTCATTTTTCAACAACTAGCTTTCACATCGGGTAACTTAGTATTAGTTATGATGGCACGTCAGTCATTTATTAGTTCTTTTTTTATTCCACTACAGTGTATTTTACCTTTCATCCCTTCTTGAAATAAGGTTTCAGCTTGTTGTTCAATTCTGAGCAATGCAAAGCAACCAAATAGAATGGTTGAAATAAATAAAAGAAATAAAAATAAAACATGTAGTATGCTATGGATTTACACCTTTACAGACTCAACTGATAAAAGACCTACCCTCCTAAGCCATAATTCTTTTCAAATTTTGCTCATAAACGGTCCTCACCTTATATCAGATGCAAAATAAAACTTCTTAGTACCACAGTACTAACATCATTTGCTTCAATAGGGAAAAAGAAGCAACACTTCCACTTTAAGGAACATTTCTTATTTAGTCTCTCAACATAAAGTACATGAAAAATGATCATTGGTGGAAATTGTTTGTCCTCTTGCATTATAATAGGTTTACATCTCTATTCTTATCAAAAGTTTGTTTGCCACAGCCCTTGGTAAATATCAAAATAAGCATTCTGGACAGTCCTGTAATACACTTAATCCCTATTGCTATGATATATGGTGTAGTTATTAAATATAGGATTATGCATAGCACCATAGGGTTTGATCACCACTCACATGCCCAGTAGAAACAGTTCTTACTCATCTCATCATGTTTCATTTACCATATTAAAATGAATATGCTGCATGATTGGTAGCCTGTTAATTCTAGATAACACCATGATTTTACGTTTGCTAAGCCCATTTTTGTTTCCGCCGAAGCAATGTTATGAATCCTAAACAAAATACACATAAATAAAGCCCTGAAAACTTCCTTCTGGCACAGAGCTACAGCAGAGGTGACTAAACCCGTGTTAGTGTTATAGGAAACTGCCCAATGGTAAAATACTGCAGTTTGCCTTTGATTACAATCACACCTCAAGGATCAATAAAGGTCACATGATCAGGCAACTTGTTTACGAGCTGCTAGTGCTTTAGCAGACTTGCTTGTGTTCGTCAAATGAAATTACACCCAAAAAGACTAATTTAATCGTGGCCATTTTAAAGCGCTTTTTAATTATCAAGGAAAATGGAAAAACTTGAATATTTCGCATTTTGCTCTATGCTCTGAAATAGCCCTCATTAGCATGAACACAAGATTTCACATTAAAGTTTAAGTCATCATCAGTACACTCCACAAATCAATTAAGTCTGCATTAAAATTTGGTCGTTTACAGTACCTGTGTGCATATGGCCCGGAAGGGTGCAGGCTTAATATCCCGTCTTAATTTGAGGTTGCTATACTAATGGGATAAACATGACTTTTTAACATTACGTAGACATGTCTTTTTGAGGACATGCTTTAAAATGATTTAGCAATTTGCAAACTTTAAACTCTACTCTGTACCCTGTGGTCTTAGGAAAACCTGTGCTGTGGTCTCTTCCCAGATCTCTCTTTTAAATAAGGACTAAATCGCAAAACAGAAACCAAAGTGAATGTTGATTGTGCTTAGCAATGGAGCGTTACAGATACGAGGGGTCAGGGACGGTCGCATTGTTGCGTTTGTTGTAAGTGCTTGAAAAAAGGCTAATTCTAGGGCACACTAAGTGTATTATTTCTGACGTATCATCACACTTCACAGGCTCTTATGTATCTCATGTTCTGCTCTGCAGTGAGCTGTGCGGCGACCTCACTGAGGTAGACTCTTTATTATGGCACAACATAATCAAAACCACAACGAAAGGCAGATCGAAAACTCTAAAAGGTCCCGTCATGTGAAAGTCATGTGTCTGATTTCATACTCAAGCTCAGCTGTCATATGAAAACAAATGTTTGAGTTTGTGCCTGACAACCATGTGTCACGTTTTGGCAAAACAACAACGAAAATGAAAAGCACTCCGAAATACACTGTAATGACCAGCCTCAACATACATTATGACAGTTCTAGAGCAGATATTGTTCCCTTGCCCTGCCCAAAACTCCAGTTACTCTGAGGCACTTTCACCTGTCCGGTTGCTGAGAGGGTCAAAGGCACTAGCAACTAATATGAGTAATTCTGCCATGTTCTCTTTTGCATCCTGCTAAGATAAATTAAGCGATTTTTGATTTCATAAATCCTAAATTTGATCGCAAAATGGAAGCGTGAAGTATAATTGCCCATAGTTTTCTTTTTTTTTTCTCAAAGAGAGAGAGAGAATGCCCATGCACTGCACTATTTAAGTTATAATCTTTTTTTTTTTTTTTTTTTTTACAGGTGCGCTTATTATGAGTATATGCATTTGATAGTATCTTGATAGTTCTTTTTCTGTGTCTTTGACTACTTTTTAGGTTGAAAAGTTTGCATCCCAGCGTTGGGGCTTGCATATATATTTTGTCACATTTCAGAAAATGTCAAGGAATCGACGTCCCTAGTTTCCCTGATTGTAACAACGACACCCTTATGAGGTATCTCAATTGCAACAAGCTGTTATACCGATGTCATGCATTAAATATACTAGGATACACAGTACCTTAGTTGAGTAGGCCATAATGCAGGTTCTTTTGACATGCTATGATATCATTAAGATTCTGTTTCCCGTAAGGTTAAACATTCAGTCTTTAAATACACCTAAATGATAAGCATCTCAAATCATGACACACTAGTGCACTTTTCATGGCGACAAATTAGGAGGTTGATGGAGAGGGGGAGCTGATGGAACCGAATGCAAAAGAAAAGCAAAACAGGAACAGGTGTCCTATCGTCATGAGGTAATGTCCGACGCATGCCAATATCAAAACGAGGATAATCTAAACATGCTAACTATGAGGCTCCTCTTTCGGCATTGTGCTGTCTTATATCTAAAGGGCATGGCATTTAATCACTTGGTGATATCTAAATTACAGCATCTGCTGGAAAATAGCAGCAATGCGGATGTCAATGAGGCGATGACCTTGGCCTCCGTAGCATCCCAGCAGAAGATAAGTCTTGTTCATTATAAGGTGCTTTGCTGGTCAGTTGGGGAAGACCACCTACGGACGAGGGAGGCGTCCACCGCACACTGCACTTGGTCTTTTATGCACTTTCCCGGATGCAGTGTGCAGCTTGCTGAAATGTAGTCTGCAGTCCATGCGTGATTTTTTTAGTAATCCCATCGTCGAGAGTCCTTCAGTGCCTGTGGACGTTAGCTAGGTGCTCGTGGAGGCTTTTTTCTGAATCATCCTCTTTGGAAATGTATTAGACTAAGTATATACTGAATCATCTGCCTCATTTGCTGCAGTTATGTTCTATATGTTTTGGTGTAGTATTTTTCTTTCGTCTGCATTGTAAAGATATTCGCATTGCAAGGGCTCACGAGAGGAGGTAAAGTAAGCATTCATATGTGACCAGTCAGTACTTGACTGAGATTTCTACTGTGTCTCTAGACATCGGTTAGCAGCTTACTTTTGTTCACACAGTTCTGATTAGCGGTAGTGCAGTTGCCAGTTCTGAGGTTGGCATCTCTGAAGTTGTCGATGCTGTTGTTTATGTCTCCGTCTATCTCCATGTACTCGGACTTGCTGACGGTCGAGGAGCTGCGACGACTGGAGTTGGAATCAGAGGCGATGTTCGGGTTGCTCACGTTGAGGAGTTGGGCCTGCTCCTCTCCTTCAGTTTCTCTATGGTAGAAATAGTTGAAGTTGGACACGATGACAGGCACGGGGAGGGCGATGGTCAACACCCCGGCGATGGCGCACAGGGAACCCACGATCTTGCCCCCTATAGTCACTGGCACCATGTCCCCGTAGCCTACGGTAGTCATCGACACAACCGCCCACCAGAACGCGTCAGGGATGCTGGTGAAGTAGGACCCTTTTTCCTCGGCCTCTGCGAAATACACAGCACTGGAGAACAATATGACGCCAATGAAGAGGAAGAAAATAAGCAATCCAAGCTCTCGCATACTGGCTTTGAGGGTCTGCCCCAAAATCTGAAGGCCTTTGGAGTGCCTGGATAGTTTAAAGATCCTGAACACCCTGACCAGACGGATCACCCTGAGGATGGCCAGTGATGTTGCCTGCTCGCCCTTTCCCTCCTTTCCGTCCGGCTCGTCCGCTAACTCTGTGCCCAACGTGATGAAGTAGGGGATGATGGCCACGATGTCAATGGTGTTCATCATATTCTTAAAGAAAGCCGCTTTGCTCGGGCAAGCAAAGAAGCGGACTATCAATTCAAATGAAAACCAGATGATACAGAGGGTCTCTACAATAAAGAAGGGATCGGTCAGGATGTTTGGTTTGTAGTAGAAGGTGGTGTTGCCTATAGTCTGTATCCGCCCTGCAGGGTCCTCTTTCAGTTCAGGTAAAGTCTCCAAACAGAAAATGACGATGGAAATTAAAATGACCATAACAGATACGATAGCAATTCCTCTGGCCGGCCCCGAGCTCTCGGGATGCTCGAACAGAAGCCAGATTTGCCGTTGAAACTCACGCTCTGGTAAGGGCCGCTCTTCCTCACGGATGAAGCCCTCGTCTTCGCGAAACTTCTCCATCGCCTCGACCCCAAGTTCATAGAACTTAATTTCTTCCGAGAACATATCCAATGGGACGTTTGCCGGCCTTCTCAGTCTTCCACCGGACTGATAGTAGTAGAGGATGGCATCAAAGCTCGGACGATTTCTGTCAAAGAAGTACTCGTTTCTCAAGGGATCAAAATACCGCATCCGCTTCTTTGGGTTACCTAAGAGAGTCTCTGGAAACTGGGAGAGAGTTTTGAGCTGGGTCTCGAAGCGCAGCCCAGCTATATTGATGACCACCCGTTCGCAGCATTCATGATCATCCTGGTCAGGAGGGTACGTGTCCTGCGGATGTCCTGGCACGGCAGAGGTCTCATCCATGTTGTCCCCAGGCACGACTGTCATCCTGCAGGTCAAAGTTGGAGCTCCGCAGGAGTTAATTTAATTGAGTAGACATCCAATTGCCCTCCCAAGGCGTCGCTTTCCTTACTTTGCTCCGATTCCAGACCCTTAAATCTATCTCGATCCCCGGGTATATGGTATGACTTGATCTTTCCTCAGTGTGGCCCCACTGCGGTTGTCACTGATTCGACCATCGCTCCCTTCCGCTGCATCCACTACGGCTGCCTCTGTCACCGAGTCAGAGAAAAATGGATCGAACAGCGGCGATATTTGCTAGCTCAGCAAGTTCACACTACTTATTTATTTATTTACTTGTTATTGTATGTATATATCACAGAAGTGCACAGCCTTAAGGGCACAATTCTGAATCATTGTGCTAATTTAGGTTATTGAAAAGATGTGACAGGACACTGTCACTTTTGCTCCATCACTACATACATGCAGTCTACTTCTCACTTTATATATAGGGAAACATATTATTGAATAGCTTAGATGTAAGTTCGAGTACATAAATTGATAGGAAAACATGAAAATGACTTTCACTTCAGGCAGATACATGCAGTTATGATGCTCACCTCGCTACTGAAGGAATGCGTCTTCTGCCGGCAGTCTCCTGTCAGTAATGCACCCTCGATTCCCTTTTGTTGTAGAAAATGCCCTTGTAAAAGCTTCTTCACATCTTCTCAATTTCAAAATGTTCGTCCATAAATGTCACATCCATAATGAAATGAAATGATTCACGACATTCGCACGCGACGCTATAATGACAGAAATATGGCTTTGAGATGTATTACAAAGCTTCACATTCAATTTAAACGAGGGATAAAATACAAGAAGCGGGGGAAAAGGCTAAAAGAAAACATGAAGCCGCAACGTCCTCCCTGCGCTCATGCTCGTGCGGCGGCACCTTGGTGTAAATGGCTTGTACTGCATGAGAAATTGTAATGCTGCAGCTCAGCTCAGGCGGGAGATACATTAAGGGGGCAAAAGCGAACCATACCATTTCCAGACATTACTGCATCAGCAAAATTTCCCTCTTACGAGTAGACAAGATGACGAGCGGTCTGTTTTATCTGGACACACTGACAGTGGTGTATGGAAGCGAAAGGCTTCTTAAAGGGGAGATCAATAAGGGGAGAGGGAATAATTCCTTAATCATGCCCAACATATTGTTGCACTGTATTGCACATGGGAGAACGAGGAGCGGGAGAGGGGGGTAGGACAGTATGGGGGAGGGGTTCGACGCAATGCGTGGCCACAAGTGCTTGTCCACGCAATGCGCGAGAGCATTTATGTGCCAACACTGGCGCAGTATCTGATTCGCCGAGCACTAATGTGCACAGATACTTTAACTGACCACACTAACCAATAACCACAATAAAAAGACGGCTCCTCTAAAGTGCTCTTCTTCGTGCAATATTGCGACTTCTTTCCACCCAAAAGAGTTATAGAGCCTCACAGCTCCATGCGTGTTGATGGGAGACTAGATCGTGCGGGGGTTGGAATATTTATAGAATAACGTGGGTGTATGTACTTGGACGGACGGCGGTTTGTGCAGCACCTCGGTTAGAGCTCTTTTCAGCAAATGCCAATAATAGGCTTCTCCCTCCCAAAAACCCCCACAATTTTCTCTAAATAATTAACTGGTTTTTCCCCCCCTTGAAATGTTTAAATTGCTTGTTTAATATTTTGGTCATTTAGAAAATCACTCTCTATAATTCACAAATGTATCAAGAATATACCACTGATATGTGAGTTAATGACAGAAAAGAGAAATCATTTTAAGATGCAGTTGACATGTGCCAGTTATTATAAATGTAGCCTAATATTTGAGGCTACATGTGCCCTTTTTATAATGTAAATTATATTTATATTTAAATTATATTTATAATATTGCAATAATAATAATAATAAATTATGATTAATATTTGTAAAAGATATACAAAGTTGTTTTATTTACATCAACATTTCAAGAATGTCTGTCATTTCATTTATGTATTATTTTATATTTAATATTATTTAATATTATTATTTTATTTTACAATCTCTGTATAGTTCCACCACCAAGATATGTTCAGAAACTGAAAATTATATGTTCATTACAGAAAGCTTTAAACTAAATAAGCTTAAATGTATTTAATAAACCTCACTGATATATATATATATATATATATATATATATATATATATATATATATATATATATATATATATATATATATATATATATATATATATATATATATACATACATACACACATATATAAACTGTATATATCAATTGAATTAAAGGAAAGTATTATTACATCATCCGATAATTCTGATAAAGAAAGTAATAATACTTTCCTTAATTAAATTGACACAACTCCACGTCTGGAGACGGCGATGATTCCTCCTATTCACCAGTAGGTGGCATACAAACATCACCAAACGATGTGTAAACACCACAGGAATGATTGATCTGTGCATGACATCTTTCCATTAGTGTCATGGAACACAATTAAGAGAGGGAAAAGCCTGAATAAAAAGATACATTCAATTATAAATAAATATAGGCTAAAATGTATAAGATAACTCATGAAACTTAGTATATCCAGTTGATCTACTAATTTGTTTCACATAAATCATGAACATGTCCATCAGCCAACCAGAGTACAAGCACAACAGTTTTTATTATCCGGCACTGTTAGAACAGCAGCTGCAGCGAGCTCTTAACTGCTAAATATCATGAATAAGAAATGGGCAGCCCTTTCCTCCCTTCACTTTGCTGTTCAATGACTTCCCCTCAGTACATGTAGGCCTACTTTCGGTGAGCAGTGATTAGTTCAATCAACATAAATGCATCGGTAGTCATTAATCAGAGCTGTCTGAAGTGTCATAGATCCCACCTGTTATACATTATTGATGGAGTAATTGTGCAGTTTTGTAAGTGTTTCATATCTCTGTTTAAACTGACCGTGACCAACTTACTTCATCTTGATTTTGGAGACATAAAATAATTGCATGCCTCCACTTCACTTTCTTTAAAAAGGACACCCAACCCAATCTAGTTAAATTGCAAGTGTTTCTTGGACCATTGCTATCACATATAAGCCTATACAGTGCTTAGCATAAGTGAATACACCCATGCTAAAGTTGACTAAAAAGAGGAAAAAAAAAAATTAATCGTTTGGAAATTGATCTTAATGCCTTAATTAAAAAAAAAATGAGGAAAACTCCAACCTTTAAGGACACCAATTTTCTTTGTGAATGAATAATGAATCGTAAATAAATAAATGTTCTTCCTTAAAATACAGTGGGCATAAGTCAGGACACCCCTATGTTACTGGGGTACTTTCCATAAGATCCTCTCTCAATGTAAATCAATACAGCTATTAGGCTAACTGAAATAAAACCATGCCAATCTCTAAGTGGTGAAGGTTATGTGATGATGTGGGGCTATTTTAATTCCAAAGGCCAAGGGAACTTTATCAGGATGCATAGTATCCTGGATCCATGAAATAACTGCCTTTAAAGATAAAAATCTGCCTGCCTCTATGGGAATTTAACATAGGGGTGTCCTGACTAATGCACCCTGTATTTTAAGGAAGGATTTATTTATTTACGATACATTATTCATTCAATAAAGGTTGGAGTTTTCCTCATTTTTTAAATTAAGGCATTAAGATCAATTTCCAAAAGATGATTTTTTTTATCCCTCTTTTTAGTCAACTTTAGCATGGGTGTATTCACTTATGCTAAGCACTGTAGTCAGAAATATTATTCAAGGCTATTATTCATGCTACAATGCTAGTGAAAAAATGATGAAAACAAACTTCTAATATGAATGTGACAAATTATTTATTTACCAAAAATAAGTTCATTCTTACCTCATTAATAAGTTAGAAAAATAGTTCATTCACTTGGTCTGATGCTGTCATGTGGGCAGGTTAACAAATCAAAACAAATGTTAAGGAAACAAGTGTCAGACCATTCAATTACATTTCATCCTGAGCAAAGGCAACATGTGCCAACAACAACTCTTGCATTTTTAAAGCACACAGAAAGCACAAGGCAGAGATTATTGAGATATTTTAAGAGCAATATCTCATAAGGCACTGACATAATGAAGGCTTAAACAAAACTTAAATCAATTTATAAATATTTAAATAAGTTCTAGATTACAAATATATTACAATATATTACAAAATCAGTGGCAGCCTGTGAGTATACATTTTTACAATCACTTATTTTTTGTTTTTCATTGATATTTTGGCTAAATTTGAAAGTTTCTCTTTACCTGTTGTCTGACAACAATCAGGTTTGATGACGCACTTACGTCACAATGAAAGCTATAATATTTTCACATATAGGCTACAGTATGTATTTGCATTATGCACATAAATAGGTAAATGAAAAAAGTCAACAGTATCAGCTTTGCTGTTACATTCCTTTCAAATACAAACATATTTCCTTCCCTGACGAACAACGGACATAAAAGGTCATAATGCACACACATATTGCATGTTTACGAAGATAATATGAACTTCTGTCTTCTTTATAGAGAAGAAATGCCTTCATACATCTGCTGCATCCTGCAATCAGAAGTAACATCAGGTGGTGACAGATAATGAGACATGCACCCATCAGTGAGTGTGACATTTGCCTTCTCAAACAGGTTCCAGGCTGTCGGACTCTCTAGATCCCTAACCCCGCCGCAAGGGGGCGATTGATACCCATAATATCACATTGGTCCTTTTAACTCTGTCCCCACCAGAGTTTTTTTTTTAAAAAGTTGCCACCCAGACAGAGCATTTTTGATTATTTTCACAAATATCATGTGAACGCATTTTTTTCAAAGACTTCACTGGGATTCAAAACGATGATCAAAACAGATCGAGTCCATCAACACCCCCAAAGCTTCACAGTCCTATTTCATTCATTTAATTTTGATTTATATGTTGTTTACTGTTGATGATTGAACGTTATTTTACATATACACATGTAAATGACATCGCTTGTTTCTGCTGCTTGATCAGATGTTGTATTCTTTGCGAACAGAAGATGTGTCATAGCGCCCCCTACCGTATAACAGTGAAAACACAGAAAGACGGAAATTTCCGTCAATGGTGGGGAAAGAGTTAAGTTTGAGCGCCGCTGTCCACCTGAAGAAGAGGACAAATAATTTTCTGTTAACACAAAGCTCATTCTCTCGACTTTGGAACTTAGAAAACTAATCTAGAATTCAACTAATGTGATGTCAGGCACATATTGACTTGTCTACGGTCATTATCTAGAGTTGTAACCATAGAAACAAGATCCCCAAACGTACGCGCACAGAATGTGATACTCACATAAAAGCTCTTTTTGGATTTCTTATACATCTGTGAGTTTGTCAGTATGTTCCTCTGATGGATTCAAATTTGATACGCTTGATGAATTCCAGTCGTCGTCGTTTGAATGCTCTGATATCACGAGAGAGGGTTTACTGTCGCTTTTATTTCGGTCACATAGCGAAGGCAAGGGGCGGCCACAGGTCACGTGCGTGTACTCCACCTGCTCATCTGCGTTGTGTTCTCGGTGATAGAAGTAATTAAAATTCGACACGATTACCGGTACCGGCAGGGCGATTGTAAGAACTCCTGCAATGGCACACATTGATCCAACAACTTTGCCTCCAATGGTGACGGGATACATATCGCCATATCCAACTGTAGTCATGGTAACAACCGCCCACCAGAACGCGTCAGGGATGCTAGTAAAAGAAGATTCTGGGTCGTCCACCTCGGCGAAGTAAACCGCACTGGAGAACAATATAATGCCGATGAGAAGAAAAAATATCAGTAGTCCGAGTTCTCGCATACTCGCTCGTAGGGTCTGACCGAGAATTTGGAGACCCTTGGAGTGCCGTGAGAGTTTGAAAATCCTGAAGACGCGAACCAAGCGGATAACTCTCAGTATGGCGAGGGACGTGCTCTGTTGTGAGTTTGAATCGGCCTCGGAAAGGTCTAAACCTAGAGTAATGAAATATGGAATAATAGCCACAATATCTATGGTGTTCATTATGTCTTTGAAGAAGGCAGCTTTGCTTGGACATGTAAGAAACCTTACAAACAGTTCGAAGGAAAACCAAACGACGCAGATCGTCTCCAACAAGAAGAATGGATCCATGAATAGACTTGATTTTGTTCCTGAAGTCGTTCCGTTCGGCGCAAGGTGGTTATTGAACACACGATCATCCTCTCTAAATTCGGGCAAAGTTTCTAGACAGAAGATAACAATGGATATCAAGATGATCATTACAGATATTATAGCAATGATTCTGGCTGGTCCTGAGCTGTCAGGATACTCGAACAGCAGCCAGATCTGACGCTTAAACTCGCTGGACGGCATGGGCCGTTCTTCTTCTTTCTGCAAACCCTCGTCCTCTTGGAAATGTTGGATGGCGTCATCACCGATCTCGTAAAATTTGATTTCATCGATAAAAATCTCAACCGGCACGTTGATGGGTCTTCGAAGCCTCCCACCTGACTGGTAGTAATACAGGATCGCATCAAAACTGGGTCTGTTTCTGTCGAAGAAGAACTCGTTCCTCAACGGGTCGAAGAACCGCATCCTTTTAATCGGGTCTCCTAGCAGCGTGTTCGGGAATCTTGCGAGTGTTTTAAGTTGCGTTTCGAAACGCAGACCTGAAATGTTGATGGTGACGTGCTCGCTGCACTCCTGGTCAGGACACTCCACTTCACAGACGTCCTGGAAGGGGTCAGCGTGGTCCACGCTCTCATCCTGGTTCTCTCGGGACATCTTTGGCCCTCGAGAGTGTTGCCTGTTGTTCCTCCTCGACTTGCCGCCACTCCACCAGTTTTGGGGATCCGATAGCTCCAGCCTGACGGAGATCGAGCCCTAAACTAACTTCTGAAACTTTACTACCTTCTAAAAACTATTCAAACCCGGTTTATTGGTGTAAGGGAATAGAAAGTCATACTGCCAACACGCTCAGCCGAGAGCTGGAACAGATATAGTAACTCAGACTGCTTGAGACAGCAGAGGGTGGGCTGACTGTGATTGGCACATTGTGACTGAAGCAATGCGCCTTGGCTGGTTTGAACTGTACTGGCACGAAGTTAGAACCTGTAATTTGAAGACTGAAAAGCTTGATATTGTTTTTGTTCATTGTATTTGTCAAGTACATTGTAATTATAATACACACACACACTCACCCCTAACACACTCTCTCTCTCTCTCTCTCTCTCTCTCTCTCTCTCTCTCTCTCTCTCTCTCTCTCTCTCTCTCTCTCTCTCTCTCTCTCTCTCTCTCTCTCTCTCGACTATACACACACACACACACACACACACACACGCACACACACACACACACACACACACACTCACACACCCTCCCACAAACTCACTCACACACACACACACACACACACACACACACACACACACACACACACACACACACACACACACACACACACACACACACACACACACACACACACACACACACACACACACACACATTACCTCTCTCTCTCAACCCCCCACCCACCCCAGTTTGCAAATTAAAAAATTGTTCCAAACTGTTCATTTCACACCGAAAAGAACAGTTTTAGTGCTGTTCAGATCTGGGTCCTCTTGAAGTGAGAGGTGAAAGTGCTGGCTTGACTGACACCTGAGCACCCGCAGACTCGCACTGGATCAAGCATTAGCAGCCGTTACACTCTACAAGTTTACAACTAACACCAATGAGGCCCAAGTAGAAATGTGATCATGCCTCAGGTTCATTGGTGCTGAGTGATGTGGAGAGAGAGAGAGAGAGAGAGAGAGTGAGAGAGAGATCATCACACCTCCGACACCTGTGTGCTGGAAGCTGTCTGGATCAGTCGTCTTGGTTCATATATTCTGTGTTTTTGCTTGCTTGTTAGACCTGTGCTAGTGATATCTTTGTTTTCAGCAGAGCCAGTCAGGGACCTCTATCTACAATCTACATCAGTGGTAGGCCTACTGACGCATTACTAACATATGCCAAAAAACAAAATTAACCATTTTGGTGAACACCAAACGTTTAATTAAACCAGCAGAAATGGAAGTGTTTTTTCATTCTTTCTAAAAGCCAAGTTATTTTACTCTCTTATCAATTATAGTTTTCTTTTTTTATATATATAGATTTCTATATCACTTCACTGTAATTTTAAATTTATCACAACTTTTTATCTTTTGTCAAATCAACTTAGATAATGTGATTCAGATAATGTATTTTGAGTTTCTACTTATTAAACCAATCTCCATTGTATTAACTCAAAATGTTAATTTCAATTAACTCAAAATTAAGGCAACCAGCTAACTTTAAGTTAAACCAAAATATGTTTTATAGTGTATGATAGTAACTTGGTTATAGCTGTAGCTGTACCTCTTGTGTTCTTTATTAATAAATTACACAACACTTTTGCTGCTCCCGACATTAAAAATAACTCTGCATGGATATAAACAGACATGATAAATCAGTTAGGCGTCTCCAAGCAATCAGTAACAGTAGATTGAATCTTGGAGATATCCGACAAACAGGACAATTTCTCTATTCAAGGCAGAAAGGCCAGGGATTCCCATGAGAGGAAAATGCTGACAGAATGCAATATGCCACCTTAATAAACGACAGCATCTAGCACTGGTGATGTGAGTGAAGGACAGCCCTATGGGACGAGATATCATCATTCTATTCACACCCAAACGTCAGTATGGAATTCCTGCAATGTTCAGATGCCGTCAGGCTCCGCGAGGAATCGGGGCTCACGTTTCACCTTGTTGTGTGTAATGGTGTGATGGTACATCCAAGAAATGTATCATGTTTTCAGGTATGACAACCCTTAAGCCCTCAGATTTCAAAGATCTTATATGGAGCTGCGACCTGTGGCGCCGCTAATCTTCAATGAAAGTTTCTCACTGCTTCTGTGCAGTTGTGTATGCTATAATAGTATAGGAGTCTTTCCCGTTGCTAAATAAAGCTCAGATGAACTTCGAGAACGTCTCTGTTTAGTTTATCAACTTATATTACACACTCTTGTCCAACAGAACTTAATACTTTCATCATCCCCTGTGTGTGATAGTACCTTAAAAAACGCGCGTGTGTGTATAGTGGGGCACATTTGTACTCATTCACATACACAAGTATGTTTTGGCTCAGTAGTTGCTTTGCATGTGAGGTAACATTCCTTTTTAAAGGGATAGGTCATTCTAAAATTATTTCGTTTACTCACCCTCATGTCATTAAGTGAATGTCCAGGCTTCTTTTTTCCCCCTGGACAACCAAAGCGAATGAAAATTGGACTATTAAGTTCCACAGATGACAAATAACAGTGTTTATTTATAATTATTTTACTAAAAAGTTCCATGTGATATCTCTTATTATTAACTATAAGACTTAACTAGCAGCTATAGCTAATATAACGTTAGTGTCCTCTCCGTCAGACGTGACACAGACTGATTTATGGGATTGATAGCTTCAAATGATAGGTTGAAGGCTGCTGAGAGATTTTCTACTAAATTATAATTTTCTTAACCATTATTAACCCATTTTCATGTAGTTATTCTAATGTGACCTAAATGGTGGATGATAGATGGTGTGCAACAACACCTAATTACTACATTTAAGGTGAAAAATGGTTGTGTCAAAACAAGCTAAGAAACACCTGCTACTGAAGCTCAGCAGGTTCATAGTGTGAAACAGTGCTAAGTTGTTGCTGACTTCAACACCTTACGCTGCTGCAGATCAAGGCTTCCTCCATAGAAAGTGAATACGACTGCAAGGCATTGCGCCAGTTCTTGGGGTTTGAGGGGTCACCAGTTTTAGCAGGGTGTCAGTTGAGTTTGATGACCATGTTTTTGCTGATAGGCGACCATGGCATGAGGCAAGGGGTGGTGGTGGTGAAACCCGAGACTGGAGATCCGGAAGATTGGAAGGTATCTCTTCTGCATACTCTGTTCCTCTCCTGACTCTTTCCGGATTATAATTACAGTCCTTGATTAAGACTTGCCCTTTTTAGCCTCAGACAACCGACGTCTGCCGTCTACAGCTGCGATTGGATCTGCTGGAAGGAAGGAAGCCCTGCACCGTGTCCTGCTCAACATGAAAGGGTCAGTTTTGAATGTGAATTAACAAAGGAAATCTTCTCAAATGTCATTTTATTTGTGGTTTATTGGAGGTTTACGTTCCTCTCATTTCTAAGGCAAAATCATAAGTGAGGTAAAAGTGAGTTTTTATAATGACAATGATTCCTAATGTTATTTTTCTTGTTGCAAAAACAACCCTTAAAAAGTACATTCAGTATTTTTTGTTGCACTATGCAGTCGTTTTGGGCTTATAGTGGCACCTAGTGGTGTGGATGAAGCATTACGCAGAAACGTATGTTTCAAAATAAATTTTAAATATATATATTACTAATAGTTTCTTGACAGTAAAACTAATTTACAATTATAATTTTGTTACACAATTATACAAAGGCTTCATTAAGTGCTAATTTCTTTTTAGAGTAAAACTGGAAACAAATTACTAAGGTATGAAATGAACCTTCTTACAGTCTGCGAATGCTCTGAACAAAATTCAACGAAAAAGTACGCAAATAGAATTCCTTGACAATTTCTGAATCAGCAGCGCGGCCATAAACCATTAAGTATCTCAGTAATAAAACTGATACTGTAGCTGGTATGTAGACGTATGCGATACAGCTGAACATTGTGTGCATCATTTCTCAATCTTCTCAGTAACTGTACTGGGAGACACAGATGTTTGACCGTCAGATGCAGCTGAAACTGTATCTAGCCTCACAAGTATCCCTCTGGACTGCCAGAAACTACAGCTAGTATTAATAGCCCTCCAGCATTTTCTGAAGAACCGTATTGGAAAACATCCCCCAATACATGCAATTAGTCTGCATTGAATCAATCAATAGCAAGTTTTAATGAAGAGCTATAAAACAATCGATCTATGACTGAAGTTCTCCTTTCTCATTCAGCTGATTCATGCATTTAACAACAGGCAAAATGGTGAGAAAGTGGTTGGAAATGTTCTTTTAGACTGTTTATTTATATTATATATATTATATTATTTATATTACGACTTTGGACATCCCTGATCTAAATCAAACTAGGTATTCAATGCAATGATAAAGATATATATAACTAATTTTCCTAATCAAATTAAGGAATTAGAGTAGTGAGATGTAATTCTGTTATTTTTTAAAATTACATCACCTTTCAGTTGAAACAAAGCTATTAAATATACTTGTACTTCCCCACACTACTGCATGTGATCCACATCATATCAAATTCTCTGTTTGAACAATACGCTTAAAATGCCCCTATTATGCTTTTTCGAATAGTACCTTTCATGCAGTGAGTAATATAGCTGTTTGTGAATGTAAAAGGTCTGCAAAGTTTTAAAAATCAAAGTGCAGAAGATATAAAGTTATTGTCTCCTAAAAGAAAGCATCGATTCTAAACTGCTAAAACGAGTGCCAGCAATTCCAGTCACATAGATTTGTAACAAATTCACAGGAAAGCCAGCCTTTGGTCTTCATTGACTCGCTACAATTATACTTTAAATCGCACTCAAACACCGTCATTGTAGCTGAGGCCTGGAAGAGTTTGATTTGTGTTGTCGACATGTCGAGAAGACACCGTTTTCTGTGCTGAGAAATCAAACCCACTTTGCATGGACTTCAATTGATCCGGTAAAACCAACACCATTGTCGTCTGTATCACAGTGTATACAAGTGCTGAGGAAGCTGGAGTCATCTGACCAATCAGAGCAGAGTAGGCTCTCAGAAAGGAGGGGTTTAGAGAGAGCAAATCCTCATATTAACTGTTTTCAGGCTCTTTGAGAAATGAGGTGATGTGCAATGTATATCATGAGAAAATTATAGTGATTTTGACCTTAGATGAATGTAAACCTGTTGTAGGAGACCTCCAAAACAAAACGAGGAACATTAGAAAGACACAGTATTGGAGCCCTCTTATAAATCAAGGTTAAGATTCATGTGGTGCCTTCTAGTGAAACATCACACTATATGTGGGCACTCTGATATATTAGAACTGACATTTGTCTCATTCATTGTATAATGCTATTTGGCATCTCCACAGGTGGAAAAAAAGAAAACAAACAATAAAGGTTACAAAGAACTCCGAGTTTATTTCTTCTCCAATGAAGACTAATCAGAGGAAAGCAGGAAAGAGTTTACCAGACATGTACATCCAGTGTAAATACAAATGTTTGATAAACAAACATCCAGTCACATTCAGCACATCAGATTTACTCAAGTCTCTGAGTAGTTAGACTCCATTTTACGGTGGTTGTTTCTCTGCAAAGTCTATTACACCCAGTTGCTGGCTGGCCGTACCGATGTAAATGCCATTGTGACAACTGTGTGCTATACAACCAACTAAATGGATACTTGATTGAAACGTAAAACGACTTGAACAGAGTAATACACTGAGTGAAATAATACAAAAACACCCTTTCATGCTATAGCCAATGACTTCCAGGGAACAATAATCAATTTTTTAAAGCTGGATGAAGAATGTGGTAGAATGCAAAATAAAAGAATAAAATGTTTCAACAAGGCATTTAAAAACTATGATTTTCCAGCTCCTTCAACATTCACGAACAGGCAACCATGGCTAATTTTCATGCCCCCATTGCTCCAGGGATCAAACTAGCCTATTTTGGAACACAAATGTCTGTAAACGAAACTGTTCTGGGGCAGAAACAGAGCGCAAACAACAATACATATTTATTTGGCAAATGACAATCATTGGTGGTCAATTTTTCCACTTCAAAAATCAATAATGGAATTTGATTTTTAGAACGATGTTAAAAGGTGAAATTAATAAAACCAAGGTGCACTATTCATGTGTTTTCACAAATACATACTTCTGCACAGACAATATTACAATCATATTTATTCTAACTAAATGATCTTCCACTATATAAGTGGCCATATATTTATTAATGGCAAAAGTGCCATATAAAAATCTATGGTAAACAAACAGCATCCAAGGAGTCCAGAGTCGAACTCCAACAGACATATACTGACTCAAAATGATTTGAAAAAAGAAATTTCAAGTGGCAAATGGTTTGAAAAAAATAAAAATAAGGCAGAATAAGGCAGGTGAGAAACAAGGCTTGAACGGATAAAACAAAAGAATAAGAGACTGTCTAAAGTGCAATTTAGCACAACACATTTTGAAATGCGTAAACGTTAAAAGAGCAAAAAAAGAAAAGAAAAAAAGTGTTGGGGACAAATAAACGTAAGACCCTCTTCTCTTAAGAAAGAAAAGACCTGCTTTTAATCCAAAACGAGCTGTAAAAATCTGCATAGTCAAAAGTTACAAATAGAAATGTTATGAATGCGTAAAACAAATAGAATGCGTAAAACAAATAGAAATGTTATGAATGAGTAAAACAAAGTAGTAGTTTTTATGCATCAAGTTAATTTGGAGTTCCCTATGCACACTTTTAGAAGAATCATAACATATGACATACACAGAGAAATTAGCCTGTGGTTGCTTCAATAATCGGATCTTTTTTGGGGGTAAAATATTATTAAATGAAGACATTCAAAAGGCCTTAAATACTTCAATAATCTCAGGGCTCAATGACGAGGAATGAGAATTAACATATTAATATTACCAGCTAATAATTCCTGCTTAGTTTGATCAGTCTATTATTTGTGCACATTCATTTAATGAGTAAGACTGGTGATATTTTTGTGCTTTAAAGTCCCTGTAAAGGCAATTTTAAAAAAAAATTCTAAACACATTATAAATGTTAGAAATGTATTGCTAAAACATATTACAAAGACTGTGAACTGTGAAGTACTGAATTGTGAAGTTAGACCGTTAAACAGTTTTTCACCATTGATATTTTCCGGATTTTTTGGGCGGGGCTAAAACGGGGCTCGATGACGCACTGGAGCCCCTGAGCTCCTGGACACGCCCCTACTTGATGACGCACTGGAGCCACTAAGGCTGTCCGCTCCCCTAACAATATAATAGAGCACATTCACATCAGTTTTGCCACTCAATCGTGAGTTACGGTCAGCACTATTAGTTACTACAGCAGCCTACAGATTGCTAGCTAGCTATGCCTTCATCACGGAAATGCGTAGGCCTACTACCTGGATGCGATCACCGGATCACATACAAAACAGATCGGTGTCCTTATTTAAATTTCCGAAAAACGATTACATCAAGAAGAAGTGGATTAATTTTGTGAAGAGCCAACCTTGATGGAGAGCTGAGGATCACTGCCAAAACCCGCCTCTGTAAGTGATCATTTTACACGGGATAGTTTTATAAACTTTCGTCGGAGACAACTAAGGCATTCACTGATAATCCGTTGTTACTGGTGAATGGGGCCGAACCGACTATCTTCCGCCTCGGCATTCATCCTCCCGTCGCGCCGACAACTGGTGCCATCATCGGCAGTGCGTGCCCACCGTGCGAGCATCTATTCCGGCTGTAGAGTTGAGTGTGGCGAATGCAGCTTTCCCGCGAGTGGGCGTGGTTTCAGCACAGCCAGCGGACACGCCCCCAGCGTTTGAGAGCAGAGACTACTGCTCATTTTTTCAAGATTTTGATAGCTTATTTTATGTACTTGCTGGCTTTTTTTATCATTCAAATTTGGCAGGGTGGCTAATAACACATTTTTCTGTGGTGTGACAAACTCAGAACACATACAAAATTTTGACTTTACAGGGACTTTAAGTAAAAACAACCAAAAAAAGCACCCTGATACAGACCAGTATGAGGATAGTTCAGCCAAGAAGTATTTTAATATTTAGTCAACATCATGTTCTTTCAAACCTGTATGGCTTTTTATGTGGAACAAAATAGGAGATATTTTTAAAACTTGTTTTCCTCTCTCCATAAAATGAAAGTCAATGGGGTCTAGAGTTGTCTTGGACCCCATTGACTTTAACTATGAAAAAAAAAAAAGTCTTCAAAATATCTTCTAGTGCATCCCACGGGAGCAAGTCATATGGGGTTAAAACAACATAGAGTGAGTAAATGTTGACAGAATTTTCCTATTTGGGTGAAAGGAGCAGCTTGGACATTCTGCTAAATATCTCCTTCTGTGTTAACATGTGAACTACGGTACTCCTTTAAAATGAGGTCGTTTTTATGTCAAAAGTTAATACAAGTATCACAAATAATGAGAAAGTTGGCGCGTCCCAAGGAACGGTGTGGTCGGCAGTTGGGAGCTGCTTTGCGCGTATGGATTTCGGTTGACGGTTAAGTCTGTTCCTTTTCCCCCTAAATCACATCTAAAAGCTCTCAGCAACACTAAGTGCTGTTTCTTTGTGCAAGGCCAGCGGTGATGCAATTAAGTGAAAATGTCGGTTAGCTCAGAGACGGTTATATGGTCTGACTACACACAGATCACACAGAGCCCTCCGAGAGACACAAAGGAGTACCAGCTCCTGTTCTGGAGGGACATTTCGCTGTTGTGGGACACAGGACAAACAAGTAAGAAGCACAACCAACCCCTAACCTTATAAAATAAGACCCATCCTGACAAACACTTGTGTAAGATTATAGTACGCCATTTGAGAGAACATTATATAAAACACCCCTTCCTAATACTCACTTCATTTCAAAGAGAATATGAATTTTTTTTTTTTTTTGCAGTTTCTACTCCTCAAATCCATCTTTTTGGGTTGGAGATTGGGCGGACAACTTCCGGAAGCCATCTTCTCCATATAGCGGTTAGGACAGTGCTACATTAAGGTTAGGGCTGCCTTATGGACTACCTTACGTCATATGTTGATCCAGCTATGTCTCTGGGCTTGTGACTGTTGTAGCTGCTGTGGAGTTTATGATCTTCATGTACTGAGTGTTGATGGCATCGAAGGCCTCGTCCCGATGAATCATGGCACCAAACACTAGAGGCTGCGGAAGAGACATAAAAAGTTAGTGTGCTTTTCACACTAGTCATTTTGGTCCATTTGACATCGCAGAAAGTTTTGCATGGACTTCAGTATGAAGTCGCAGTTGGTATGAAAGCGATCCGGTGTAGAAGCGATTCTATTGGCTGAAAGAACATGTAATGGACACTCAGTTTGGTGCCCGATTAGAAATCTAGCAAAATGCAGCTTTTAGATGGTCACATATCATATAGTATAACCAATGCTATAAATACAGTAAGCATTTAAGTTAGTGTGCAAGCTAAACAATTAGCCTACTAGCTTTTCCTTTTTTGGCACCTTCTTTGTTACTTAGCTACAGTGGTAAACAGCTGCCTCTGGTGCTCACTGTGGTGCCATGGTTTGGAGCCAGAGAATACAATGAGCAAAGGAAACCTAGCAGGGTGAGAGGGTGGAATTGAACTGTGTAAACAACCTTGAAACATTTCACCTTAATATCCTACTATTATAAAGAGGAGGTAAATAATTATAAATTAGAAGTAATATATAGTATAGTAGGAATATAGTAATACTGAAAAGGAAAAGTTGCACAGGTAGCTTTACAATTTTATTTATTTATTTTTAATTAAACCTGTGTGCAACGATACTCATTACAATATTTAGCCTACGTATGCACAGTAGTATATACATGTGTGTTTTAGTATGTAAACAATACATGTATATTATTTATAGAACGTATATATGCACACACCAGAAAAAAAATGCCATTCCAAATATTTGCTGTTTGTTTGAAATTTCTATACTTCAAAGATTTGAAAAAAAAAAAAGTATCATGGTTTACACAAAAATAATGAACAGCACAACTGTTTTCAAAAAAATATAAAAATAAATAAAAATTAGGGTCGGAAATAAATGGTGGCTTTGGGCAAAAATACCACGGAAACGAATAAAAATGCCCCCCAAATTCAAGATAAGGGAAGGCAAGATAAGCCTTCACTTCAGAAGGCCTTTATTAACCCGTCAGAGCCGTGTCGAGCACTTTTAGCATGGATGGATGTGCTTTTATGGACTTCCAAAAAAATATACCCATTGACTCCCATTATAAAGCTGGGAAGAGCCAGGACATTTTTCAATATAACTCCCTATTGTATTCGACTGAAAGAAGAATGTAATAAACACCTAGGATGGCTTCAGGGTGAGTAAATCATGGGCTAATTTTCATTTTTGGGTGAACTATCCCTTTAATGAAAGTTTTATGACAGATCTAATGAAAAGTGTAGATTCGGTATTACATTGAGATCTCATGTTGCATCAGATTTCTTTTTACATATTTTTGGCAGCATTGAGCATTATAACCAATCACACGCGCTTCTATTAAGCTCATGAATGCAATGGCCAATCAGAGGCATTTTGATTAGTCACCACTGAAAATACCAGGGTTTAGTTCTGACTGAATTCTGCACTCTTGCAAATTCTCTCAACATAAAAATCAATGTGCAGAGAAGATGTAAGAAGAGTATAGAGATCTTCAGTTATTATAATGTGTGTTTTTGAATGCATAACTTATGAAATCTTGATTTCCTAATGTAGAAAAAGTAATAAACTAATTCATAAAATGTTCTTAGCTTGTTCTTGTCTGTGTAGCCAGAATATGATGTCCCATCTCCCCAAATACAAAAATTCCCCAAACATTATTCAATTTTTGTTCAAATACCTGTATGCCAACTTCGAGCAGTAAATATACATATAAATGCCATGTCGGATGCAGCTTGCATTGACACAGTATACAGTATATCTATTTACATGGCACTTGTTTTTATTTACACAGACAATTTAATGTTGCTCGAAGGTGTCATACATGCACCGATATATTGGCTAATAATCGGTATTGGCCGATAAAAACAATTATTTTCATCAGCCGATTGTTTAAAAACAGCCGATGATCAGGGCCGATTATATCTTGTCAATCAAAAGGGGGTGGAAAAACGTGTCAGACTGCAACTCATACTGTGTGTAAAGAAAATGTTTTGTTGAATTTAGGGCAAGTTAACGTGACAACGCATTAACAGCAAAAAAAAAAAAAAAAGCAGCGACATAAAAGCAGGCTCTTTTTAACCCTATGAATCACCCGTAGTTCAAGCCGGGGTTGCCATGTCTGCAGTTTTTCCCCTACACAAAACATTATATGTAGTGCACCTCCCATCCAATAATTGCAAAGAGCTTTGTGTTTTGTTACTTCTAAAAAGAAAGTCTCAGCTTTCAAATTCTGTCCATTTTCAAAAGTTAGCGTAGTCACGAAATTCAAACAATAAATGGTGTTTTGATGCTCTTAAATGTGACGTTACAGAGCGCTGTAGCGCCTCCGATCAAGCGGCAGCTTAAATACAAGTTATAGTACGAAAAAACATGCATGAAGGTATGTTGAAAGATACAGCACATCTTACCGAAATGAATCAGGTTTAATGTAATCGATCAATCGGTTTCAACCGCGGAGATATGTCAATAAAACAGCTTGTGAACAATGTTGCATTTACCTCAGGAAAGTTATTCGATATTGATTAGTTAGCTATAAAAATCACTAGAGAAGAGCTTATTTACTGTTAATTATATATGTATGCTCCACTAAATTTGTCATGAAAACTACCAACATTTCAGTTTTTATTTGAGTATTTATTAAATCTGAAAATAAAATGAGGCGGTTCTCAGTATAGTTTGCAGCATTATTTGGGAGAGATTTTTTTCCCCTTAAGAAAATCAAAGTATCGGTATCAACAGATATCATTCTGAATAATCGGGGTGGAGAAACTTACACTACCGTTCAAAAGTTTGGGGTCAGTGAGAATTTTATTTTTATTTTTTGGAGGAAAGAAATCAATACTTTTATTTATCAAGGACAGTAAAGACATTTATAATGTTACAAAAGATTCTATTTTAAACAAATGCTGTTCTTTTGAACTTCCTATTCATCAAAGAATCCTAAAAAAAAAAAAAAAAAACCTGTACAACTGACAGACCAACAACTGTTTCAACATTGATAATAATAATAAATGTTTCTTGAGCATCAAATCCTCATATTATACTGATTTGTGAAGGATCATTTGACACTGAAGACACTGACACTGGTGATGCTGAAAATTCAGCTTTGATCACAGGAATAAATTACACTTTATATATTCACACAGAAAACAGCTGATTTACACTGGAATAATATTTAATACTATAACTGATTTTTGTTGTATTTTTAATCAAATAAGCGCAGCCATGGTTAGCAGAAGAGAATTCTTTTAAAAGTATTTAAAATCGTACCGACCCCAAACTTTTGAACGGTAGTGTAGTATCGGTGCATCATATATATATATATATATATATATATATATATATATATATATATATATATATATATATATATATATATATATATACACACACACACACACACATACATACACATACACGCTCTCTGATATTCTGTACATTGGCTGCTGGCCACTTACCTTTAGAGTGGATGGCGTTGTAATGGAGATCCCCATCCCAGATCCAGGCAATACTGACAGCACCTTGTACTGTTAACGTGTGTAGAGAATCCAGTTAGAACAAAGCACTCGAGAAAAATTAGTTAATCATCCACAAAACATTTGGCAGACCTTCTGAAAATCTGTGATGTCGTGGAGCTTGATGACTTTATTTTTTTTCGAGGAGGTTGCCCGGGAACTGGAACTCTCGAAACACAGGTAACTAAAAACACAAAACAGTTTTATCATGAAGGACTGCAGTGGGCCTAACAACTCTCTCATACAACTCTTGAGCCTTATTTAAATATGACAAAACATTTACAACTTTGTTCAGAGTAAATGCAATTGGTAAATATTGCAATTTAATGGAAAAATACTGATGTCCTGCATGCATACTTCTCTGTGACATAGAGGACACCATTGCGGATGTAGTCAGTTGGCATTTTCCTGTCCCTGTTGATCAAGCAACATCGCCATCCGTTCTCACACACTGTGAATCAAATCAAACATTCTTTTACAATTAAAGACAAGTACAGATGAAATGTTCAAAGGCTACTGCAGTTTCCCTTCCCACCTGGCAGGGGGCGCTCATTTTCAGACAAGTTAAAGACTTCATGAAACGGGCCTCTCTTGGTGTTGTAAGCCCGTCCGCTTTCCTCCTCACGACCAATCCCGCATGACATCCCAGCCGATTGAGCGCCACGTGGTACCGTTGGCTGGATCTGCTACGGGGAACAAGCAAAATGATTGATTTAGGAGCAGGATGTGTAAATAAAGCCCCAGAACAGCAAGGTTCCTGTGTGCCAATGAAGGATCAATGCTATCTTTTAACTTCTCACCAGATAAAGAACAGAATTGATCCTAGATCAGCACTTAAGGGCCCCAAAAACAGCACCCATGTGGGGGAAGCTTGTCAATTGTCAAAACCAGTGAATGCCATTGAGCCAAGCAGCAGTGTTGACCTATAGCACAGTGAATGATGGGCCAGTGGCTCAGCTGCATGTGGACTCCTGGTGACAGACTCGGTTCTCTGGGTTGGATGCCAAACAGTAGCGAGGGATGCCTGGAGGAGGGTGCTGCTGAGGACTAGTGCAAAGCTCAAAGCCGGAGTTAAACAGCCACTTATAGGTATTACCACTCACCAACATACTACCATATTACCAAGGTATTCTTTTATTTACAGAATGTGTTAGAGTTTGGGACTGAGCAAGACAGATGTCATCTGATAAATGTTCATGGACATTTCTTCAACTACGGGCACTTTCAAGTCGTAGGAGTTGATTTATATTAAAATTAGCAGAAGAGCTATTGGTTATACATACATATACACTATACAATTAATTCATAAATATTCTATTCAAAATACAATTTGATACATTTTCAATGCCATCACAAGCTATTTTTGATATTTTCTAATTGTCTTATGACTACATTTTATTGTTTAGGTTATACAAATCAATAATAATAATAATAATAAAACTGATAACAATAAAACATCTAATTGTCTTATTATAGATAATAAAACTATACACATGCACTCTTATTTTATGCCATCTAATTTTTAACGATAATTTTGATGATAATGATACTAATAAAGATTCTTCATTTAAAACATACTTTAACAATAATATGTATTGTTGTTATTATTAGTTCTGTAATAGGTTTTTCACTTTGTTTATACTATCAGTTTCATTATTTATTGTTAATTATTGTTATAGAGGTTTATCATTTAAAGAAATTAAATCTATACACATCTAAAAAAAACTGATAATATAAACAGTAAAATTTAGTTTGAAAAAAGTAAATTTTTAACATCTATTGTGTGTTTTTTCCCCCCTCATGTGCATCATGTATATCTACTTTTGACTTTGTTAGTAGACAAATTATATAAATCACTTTTGAGAGTGAGAAAAGTGTATGTTAAGGGACTTTTTAAAAAAAAAATCTACAGGACAAGTGGCCACAGTTGAAGAAACCTTATATTTGCAGAAAACAACTTCTTCGTGCATAGAGAGTACGTCTGCAAATACAACATATCCGCAAAAGAAATGTTGAATAATTGACACAACTGACTACTGTAAATGCAGCCACTTCGAGGCCACTGCTCAAACATGACAAAAACTTGGATCCTATAGTCATACAATCGCATAATATGCAACATTTTCAAATAACAACCATTTTGAAAGTAAATATATGCATATATAATTTAATTTCTAATATAATTCATCTGATCATCACTTTACCTCTCCATTTTCTGAGAGGTAATTGTAAACTAGCTTTGAAAAGTAAACACTACAAAGTGGCGACACCAGAAGAGCCAAGCTTTTCAGAATTTCTAGCCACCTACACAAGGCATTTATGTAATCATAAGAAAAAAAATTGTACTGCAAGTAGTGCATAAATAGAAAAGGACGAGTTTCCTTCTAATTCTCAACAAATGTCTCCATAAAGTGTAATATGTAAAAAGCTTGACTGCTCTAATGTGGTCACTGCTTCAAAATACTATTAAGCCTATTATTCTACACTAAACTATAGTATAGAGCAGCAGAGAACCTCTCAGATAAACCCCGCATGTCACACACACACACACAGACACACACACACACACACACACACACACACACACACACACACACACACACACACACACACACACACACACACACACACACACACACACACACACACACACACACACACACACACACACACACACACACACACACACACACACACACACACACACACACACACACACACACACACACACACACACACACACACACACACACACACACAGTATTTCTACACAATCACCTTGTCTGATGACGATAGATCAAAAACATCCTGGTACTTTTTACAATCTTGTTCATATACGTTTTGTGCAAATTAGTAAGATGCATTTTTAAAAAGACAGTTTTTGATCCAATTGTCGACAGACATTGTCAGTGTCATACTGCATATTCCTGACACACACACACACACATATATAAAACACACACATACGCAGGACCAGCCATTGGTGGCAAACACAGGCACTGTTGTCAAACCAAAGGCCACACTAGATCCCTACCTTTTCGAACCCAGACAGCTGAGAGAGGAAAAATAACAGAATAAACATGTGACAGACCATCACACAAACCAAAATCCTGCCATTTATTAATGATATAGAGGAATTACATATCCTCCATTGGCTGAATTCATGTTTAACCATCTTGTAGACACCGTTTTGATCTGTCCTCCATTTAGTGTTTATTTATTTGTTTTAGTTTATTTTTATTTGTTTTATTTAATTTTAAATTATATTTAACTGATTTTAAGATGTTATTAGCACCAAGATACAACTCTTATTCAAGAGTGGCCTGGCTAAGATGGAGATGTAATGTAATGACTATATTATTATTAATGTACTGCATGTTCTTTTTGACAGCTTGGCCAGGTCAATCTTGTATAATATTGTATAATATTGTATAATATAATATAATATAATATAATATAATATAATATAATATAATATAATATAATATAATATAATATAATATATTCTTTTTGCTATCAAGAGTTGTATTTTGGTTAAATAAAGGCTACTAACTAAAAGGAGGAAACTATTGCTCATTTTCTGTCATAACTGTCTTCCTCAAAAAAAGACAAAAAGGAATCAGGATTAATATTTTACAAGCTTTTTGAAATTGGAACAATGAGGTTGCGCACGCGAACAGATCACTCACCCGTCTGCTCAGTGTGGCGTTGTTACGCTCTTTGAGCTGCGGGTCTGTGGGTAAGTTGGCCCATACAATGTAGGGTGTGTCGTACTTGTCCCTCAGTTTTGGGCAGCTTTTGAAGATAAAGTCAATGATGAAGAATTTGATGCCAGCATAGAACCCTGAAATAACCACAAATAAATGAAAATTAGAGACTTGAGACAAAAAAAAAAAGCACATTAAAATTGTTGTTGCATGTCAAACTGAATTTCTTACCAATCATGAAGCCTAAGAGTTTATATGGCAGCAAACAGGAAGTGATGAACGCCATCCACAAACCAACATACAGTTTCTGTGTGATTTCAGGCTGCACCCACATGAACAGACTGCAATGCAATCACATACAGAACATAATATTATGCATAATATGTATGTAAATATACATTTATACAATAAAACATACTTAAACTGGGCAGTACTACCAAAAAAATCAATATCATTGTACTATTAATTTTATATCATCAACTTTATGCTCTCTCACAATAGTACTTTAAAAATAATAATAATAAAACCAAAATATATTTTTATAAATATAAATCACAATCATAAAATTATTTATTTATTTATTTGAAGCTTGAATAAAATAAAAGTACTGTTAATACACAAGTTAAAACATTTTTTGATATTGAACTTTAATAATCAGCTTAAAAAAAAAAAAAAATGCAGAACCAAATGGCATCTGAAACATTACACAGTATATACTGTTATACCGGCCAGTCCCACAATTCAATATCTAACATACTCACTTTTTGATCTTTTCCAATACGTCTGACATCTTTCCAAATAGATTCTGTGAAAAGACGTCACTTGTGCGTCAACAGCTTTATGTGTGAAGCAAAATGAAAGGTGTCGGCATTACACCACCACAGCTAGAACAAAGTCACAAATCTTACCTGTGCTTTCTGTGCAACATCCAACACTAACTGGAACTTCTCGGAGACCGTAAGATCTTCCTTTGGAGGCTCCTAATAAAAAGAAGAGCACAAATGAAGCATTAAGGCTTTTAATCAAGCATATATATTTAACAACTTACTGATGTAAATAAATTAAAATGAGGCTAATATTTACCATCGGTTCGGACACCTCAGGCACAATGCTCCACTGTATCCTCCAACCCCTGAAAAGATACACGCAGAACTGGTTTAGTATGCAAAACAAATTTGAGACCATATTTAAAATATAGGATTTTAAAGTAAAACATTTTTTTTAATGTAATCTTTTTATATATATATAATTTTTTTCTATGCTAAATAATAGGTTAGTTAAAGGGATATATAATTATGGATCAGATCCCATGTCATGCAACCACCACATGGGTTTGTGAACTAGTTGTGAATTGAACCAGTGATAGATTATGTCGGACGTACTTTGCAATGAGGTAATTCAAGGACAACCGCAGAATGGCTAAAAATAGAAACATGGGGATAACCCAGCCATGCCAGGCAGCATTCATATAGATCTGTGGAAAAGATGAGAGGGAAGAAGACATTAAAATGAAGGATGGCATGTCAGGCGTGTTTCTGGCAGTGTTGAAATCATGTCAGCCACCAAACAGAAACATGTGGTGGCACTATTTATCTACATTTTAGTATTTTAAGATAAGCCAACTTTTATCACACTGACCTAATATACATTAAACCATGTAACAGATTAGTTTAACCTGAGGCGGGGCTTTTCCTAATCTGGTGATGTGCAGACGACAATGAGCTTTATTTGTTTTAATTATGGTAGTAAAACAGACACTTTGGACTGGGAGGCTACATAAACATGATAAACAGTGATGAATCGTGTTTGAGGGGTTTGTGTGGGTGTTGGGCTGTGCTCACAATAAAGGCGATGGCTGACGTGTAGACAGAGTGCCAGCTGGATAAGGCAGAAAGGTTCCTCATGAAGTTAGTTACAGGCTTAGCACCCCGTTCTGAAAACACACAGACCAGAACAGTCAGTTTCATGCCCGTGACACAGCAGAGGTGATGGGAATTAAAATGGGGCTGCAATCCATTAAAATATTTAGCGTTATGGCTTGGAGGGTTTTTTATTTGGGCTGCAGAATGAAAACACTTACTGAGTCGTCTCATATTTTCAGTTAATCTGCAAAGAGGAGAAAAGAAAATTAATTATTTAATGAGATCCGTTGGGAGGGTGAAATTATAAAGCTAGAAATAGCATGAAAATCGAGACTGCATATAAAGACATCCAGTTGAATGTCCTATCCAGCACATTACACTTACAACATTTTAAGATATAGAAAATATACAATAAAAAAAAGGTATAAAAACAGAAAAATCTAGCAAAAAAAAGTCTGATTCCAAAATGGGGCTTTAATCACCCCCTAGCATCCAGGTCATTCCTGGCAGTAAGTGTCATATGCAGTCAGTACATTTTCAAGTTTTATATATTTAAGAAAAATGTGTTATTTATATATAAAATATTCATATTTATATATAATATAATATAATGTATGTATATATATATATAAATATATATGTAAACATAAATAACTTTTAAATCTTAAGTTTCATATATATATATATATATATATATATATATATATATATATATATATATATATATATATATATATATATATATATATATACACATATACATATACATAAATACATACACACACACACCTAAAGGATTATTAGGAACACCATACTAATACTGTGTTTGACCCCCTTTTGCTTTCAGAACTGCCTTAATTCTACGTGGCATTGATTCAACAAGGTGCTGAAAGCATTCTTTAGAAATGTTGCCCCATATTGATAGGATAGCATCTTGCAGTTGATGGAGATTTGTGGGATGCACATCCAGGGCACGAAGCTCCCGTTCCACCACATCCCAAAGATGCTCTATTGGGTTGAGATCTGGTGACTGTGGGGGCCATTTTAGTACAGTGAACTCATTGTCATGTTCAAGAAACCAATTTAAAATGATTCGAGCTTTGTGACATGGTGCATTATCCTTCTGGAAGTAGCCATCAGAGGATGGGTACATGGTGGCCATAAAGGGATGGACATGGTCAGAAACAATGCTCAGGTAGGCCGTGGCATTTAAACGATGCCTACTTGGCACTAAGGGGCCTAAAGTGTGCCAAGAAAACATTCCCCACACCATTACACCACCACCACCACCAGCCTGCACAGTGGTAACAAGGCATGATGGATCCATGTTCTCATTCTGTTTACGCCAAATTCTGACTCTACCATCTGAATGTCTCAACAGAAATCGAGACTTATCAGACCAGGCAACATTTTTCCATTCTTCAACTGTCCAATTTTGGTGAGCTCTTGCAAATTGTAGCCTCTTTTTCCTATTTGTAGTGGAGTGTGAGTGGTACCCGGTGGGGTCTTCTGCTGTTGTAGCCCATCCGCCTCAAGGTTGTGCGTTGTGGCTTCACAAATGCTTTGCTGCATACCTCTGTTGTAACGAGTGGTTATTTCAGTCAAAGTTGCTCTTCTATTAGCTTGAATCAGTCGGCCCATTCTCCTCTGACCTCTAGCATCAACAAGGCATTTTCGCCGACAGGACTGCCGCATACTGGATGTTTTTCCCTTTTCACACCATTCTTTGTAAACCCTAGAAATGGTTGTGCGTGAAAATCCCAGTAACTGAGCAGATTGTGAAATACTCAGACCGGCCCGACTGGCACCAACAACCATGTCACGCTCAAAATTGCTTAAATCACCTTTCTTTCCCATTCTGACATTCAGTTTGTAGTTCAGGAGATTGTCTTGACCAGGACCACATCCCTAAATGCATTGAAGCAACTGCCATGTGATTGGTTGATTAGATAATTGCATTAATGAAAAATTTAACAGGTGTTCCTAATAATCCTTTAGGTGAGTGTATATGTATATATATATATACTAATACCTCATATATGTAATATAAATGTGTGTGTGTATATATATATATATATATATATATATATATATATATATATACACACACACACACAGTATATACATGTGAATATTTCTTAAATATATACATGCATATGTGTGTATTTATATACACAAAATAATCCATCTATCTATCTATCTATCTATCTATCTATCTATCTATCTATCTATCTATCTATCTATCTATCTATCTATCTATCTATCTATCTATCTATCTATACAAAATAATCTATATTGATATCTCTATCTATCTATATAATATATATGGAAAAAGAAAAAATACTATTATATTACATGTATAATTTAATATAACTTTTAAATACTTAGTAAATAACTTCTAAATGTTTTAGTATAGTTGACCAAAGTATGAGTCTGACCAGGGTTTACAGAGTTCAAAAGGTACTGCATTACAGGAATGACCCATGGCTTGAGCAGTTCTCTGTTCAACCTCCCTTCAAAACCTGTAAATTATTAATCGAAACAAACTAATCGAGACTTTATTTGGGCTGGTCACCTTTTAGCACTTAGTGGTTCCTCAGTCTCGACTGTATTCTCCTCAGGCTGAAAGCGAAAGTCTTCGATATAAACACCAAAGCGCTCATAGAGCCATTTCCACAGCCGAGATCTTAAGGTCTCCTTCTGTTTGTCCCCTGTCAGTTCAAAAACAGCACAACACTTCAATGCAGCATTACAGACATTTAACTGATTCACAATATAAACATCTAAAACATAAAAAGGGCTGTAATATTCTCAGAATTCAATTGAGCATCATCACAAATGAGAATCACAAAAAAATCTAAAAGAGACAAACGGCTCATAGAAAGTGACACTTCTAGTGCAGAGATACATTCAGGAATAACATATGGTGTGAAAATGAGGAGGAAGCCTTGTTTGGCCTTTTTGGGGCCATTTCAAGGGATGTTAAATAAAATAATGAACTGTGATATAACAAAATATCTGAAGCATGAAAGACAAAAACTAAAAATCCACCATCAATCAGTTGAAGCGATGGATAAACTATAATCGTGTTCCTCAAATGAAGTTAAAAATAAGGGCACTGGTTCTCAATCACCAATAAAGTGTTGTTTAGCGCACAGAACAAAATTGCCACACACAATTTCAGGCAGGACAGGTGCGTGTCCAATTCAATTTATTTTTTTCGTTCTAATGTTGATGAATCCGGATTATTCTTAATGAGGGACAGTGTGCCCGCAGCTAGTAATTACACAACGCACATCCAAACCATCTCTATATGAGAACACAAATAGCAAAAGTAAAGCCAAATGTGTCACTCAAAACCACATAAAACACAAAAACATTTTATTTAGGGACTAGACTGCATGTAATCATGTTTTGGACCACTAATTATTATGCATTCACCAATAAAAGCTGCATTTTTGTGCAAAACACATCCTAGATTACGATGTAATGCATATCTTTTTTGTTATTAAGAAATAAGACTTGCCCTTATAAGTAGGGATGCACGATATAGGATTTTGGCCGATATTCGATATGCCGATATTTTCAAACTAATTTTGCCCGATGCCGATACCGATATATTTGTATTTTTTTTAAGTGCAAAAAAAGCTTATTAAAGCTTCTATTAATGTTCTCAGTCAAGAGCAGTGAGTGATTTCCTCTGTGTTTTGTTGTTTTATTAACGTTAACGGGATAGTTCTCCCAAAAATTTAAATTGTCATCATTTACTCTCTCAAGTTTCTTTCTTCTGTTGAAATTATAAAAGTTATTTGGAAGAATGTGGCTAACCAAACAGTTGCTGTACTCCAGTGACTTCCATAGTATATTTAAGCACAAGAAAGAAATGAATCTAGGTTTGAAACAACATTAGATAGACAGAATTTTTATTTCTGGGTGCAGTATCTCTTTAAAGACAAGCGGCAGAATATTATTAACTGTCTCTTTAAGAACTGCACGCGAGTAACGTGACGCGTCTAATATACACGCATTTGAAAAGCAGATTTTCTCTGTTTGCTTTCACTTTAGACATAACCAACTTTGTTTATGTAAACCTTGTGTGTATTTGACAGTATCAGCGCAATAAGACTCGAAAGATTAGTCCAGTATGCAGGCGCTGTGACAGGCTTTAGTTCCTGTGAGCGTCGGGTGTAACGCGCTCAGAAAAGCGGATGTTAGAACAGCGCATCAGCACGTGAATGACATGTTTACCTAGCAAGACTTTGACGCACATGCAAACAATGAACTTTTGTGAATTGCGGTGTCCCGTGAGTGTAACTCTACCTTTGCGTTTACATGTGATGTAATGTGAATGTACGTCGCGTTGTACAGTATGTTGAGATGAAGGCGCCAGAATTGAACTGATAGAATGCAGGATACTATGATTTTTCTTCAAAAGCAGATCGTGGAGACATTTTAATCGTCCACGATCAAAAACCGTGAGACGCACGGCACACCCCTAGTTGGAAGTTTAAGTTGCTGGCGCTCATGCTTCGTTCACGGTCGTCACGTGCGCATAGGAAACACGCCACCCTATCGGCAAGACTCATCGGCAGAAATATTCATATCGGCCGATGCCGATGATGGTCATTTTAAGCTTTTATCGGCCGATACCGATGTTGTCCCGATATCATCGTGCATCCCTACTTATAAGGCCTGAAAATAATCCGCATTTCGCCTTTCGAAGGATACTCATTTGGCCGAAAGATGTTAAAAAGACTTTGTATTCAAGTGCTGAAGTCACACGCACATGCAATGTTATATGTGCATTGTCCGAGCAGAAACAAAAATTGGGCTGCAAGGACGGTGTGCCGGACCTCCGCGGACCCTCCTTATGACGAAAATTACATCGAAGTATACTTGGGCTTTAGTTATACATTCTCTAATAATGCATAAAACAAGAAACAAAAAAAAATCTAAGTGTGAACCACTATTCAACATATTTGACAGCAACTAGCTAACAGCCTCAGTGCTACAGAAAAAGTACTCTATTAGAGAAAAGAGATAGAGTGTTGAAAAAGTAAAATAAAGAAAAAGCCATAAATGAACAATGAATGCACCCTTAGAGTCAAAACAGCAACAGGCAAAAGTGATTATTATGATGTATTGCTATTAGAGATCAATTTCCATTTGAATGTAAGTGTGTCTCAAGACCTCTATAGATCTATAAAGGAGAACAAACTAAACTTTACCTGTTCCATTGACTGAAGTGACTTGTGGCTTTGGAGGTGGAGGTGGGGGTGGTGAATCTTCTAGTCTGGACCAAGCACACTTATTGTTTAGAAAGTGTTAACAACAAATAAATATAGAAATAACTCAAATGGAACATTTATTAATTAAGTTCTATACTATAGATGCGTCAAATGTTATTGTGGGAAACTTCTATACTGTGGAAAAGCATCACCTCCCATACCTGGATCTGAGAATTTCATTCATTTTCTGCTCGAGATCGACTCTTTTCAATTTCTCTTTCTCCAGCTCCTGCTTCAGGGTGTCGACATTTGTCTCCTCTCGGAGCTTCCTCAACTCCTCCTCTGTGAGCAATACACAAAGAAAACAGTTCAACTGCATGACTGAAGGACCGAGGAGATTGCTGTTGACTTCACTGGAATCCTTCAGCAAGCTTGAGGTCTCTTTGGCTACAGACAGATGTCAAATATCCGTGATACAAAGGGTCAGCTGGTCGTTGTTGCAAAATAAACCCTGGCAGCATGATCAGGATCTTGTATCACGCTCTTAAGGTTTATTTTGCAATAACGACTGGCTAAATGTTCATCTAGGCAAGAGGAGAACTGCCTCCCCGACTGAGCCTGGTTTCTCCCAAGGTTTGTTTTCTCCATTTCTATCACCTGATGGAGTTTGATTTCTATTGGCTTGCTTAGTTGTATTCAGTAATATTGATTTGACTGCACTGATACTATCGGATGAGAACAAAACTTGAACTGAGCTGAATAATGACACTTGTAGATAATGTCTTCTGTAGAGCTGCTTTATAGCTGAATTGAACTTGTTCCAGAGGCTTAGGATGACAGGATCCTAGTCATCCTATATCTAAAAGATGACACTAAATTAAGCTCTCTCACAGGACAGGACACTCAGCAGTGGAACCAGAGGAAGATTCAAGACACTTCGTCCTCAATTTCAGAGAACTTAATGATTCTCGAGTCAAACAAACATGTAGCTGCTGGCAGAGACGGATCGGCCTTGATCTAACAAAACGAAAATAAATGATCACAGTTCTAACAAAGAGCATGTTTGCTGAAAACTTTTTGCCTCTGGAATGCACAACAGCCCTAATCGAGTAGTTTTTCCACCTGCCCTCTATTGCACACAATGCCTGCTTCAAGGTTGCCTGGAACACAAGCCCATCTTCATCTATAATTCAGCAGTTCCTGAGTCTCCCACAGAGGCGCTATAGTCATGATAAAGACCCCCTGCCGCTGACTCGAGGGCAGGAGCGCTAATAGAGAAGACATCTGAATCCAGATGATCAGGGCAGACCATAGGGGCCGTCGCTAAACCCGGAGCTAGTGGACGGAGGGACTGAGCAAGCGGTTTCACAGTGATAAAACAATAGATCGAAATTTATATTTATAGCCATGATGCTATTCTTCACTTTACAGCGTGTTCGGAGTGTCAAGGCAAGCAAATTTAGATCTAGTTGAACAAAAGTATAAATAATATCAATAACCATAATAAATAATAAATCATATTACTATTAATAATAATAATAAAGAATAAGAACAAACCAAAGAATACTTACAGATATCCTAATCTTCTGTAACATGTCGTGCAAAGCAAATGTTTAGGAGCTTTACATGAATAATCCCTTTGGGAACATTTGCAAGATTTGTGCCATTGTGTGAGTTTTTTTCATGTTCTGGTATGCAAACTCAACCTCACTTACGGTTACAGTGGAATTGTGGCAGAAATAATCTTGTAAGCAGATATTAATCTTCGCCATGCTACAAGCACTTTGTTGCAATGTTGGACTGCACAGATGAGACCCTGAACTCACATGGCACTTACTGTAAACGTAATGGTAACTAACTGTAAACCAATAACCCATTAGTCAACAAGGAAATGGAATAGAACCTAGTGGAGCGTTTAAACATTGAGTTGCTCGGGCTGAAGGTGAAGGTGTCATTTCTGTGCCACTAGTAGCACCAAATAGAAAAAAAAAATAGTGTGTGTGCGTGCATATATAGATACACATATATACATATTTCATTTAAACTCAGATTTTTAAAATGTTAATAATTAAATGATAACGTAATTACATAATTAACCCATAAGCAATCAGCACATTGTTCAGGCAGTAACAATGCAGAAGGAACTTGAAATGTAAACTATTTTTATGGCTTGATAAGGACATGTTCAATGTGTCTGCCAGATTGGATCTTGGCCCACTGTCCTTCACTGAAGCTGTGCCATCTCACTGCCCTCTCTGAAATACAAACTTCAGCCTCAGCTCACATCAACTTGCTGGAGCAAAAAAAAAAGCTAGAAAAAAAAAATGATAACGTCTAATGGCCCATTTACACCAAAGCAATTAAGCATATGAAAGCCTTTCTGGCTGACAGCATCCTTTCACATAGTTCACACAATCAGCCCTGCCAGTCTCTGCCAAAAAGACCATGAACACAATGGTAAAGGCTACACAAAACCATGGACCAATGCTAGCTCATCATAGAGTCATCTGATGTAATGAATATGTGAACTACTCATGTTATGCAAGAGCACCGTTTTCCTCCAGAAAGTTGAATGGGAAAAAATAATTAAAATAAATGATTGAGGAAGTATGATATGTTTGAAAGTATCGCCAAACATTAGCAATGAAGGTCTTTCATATCGACATGGTGTATGTTCTGACTGATCAAGGTGTCACTAGCAGTCAGCACAACTCTATTGTAAAACTGACAGCTGCAGCTTCCAAAGAGGTCACGTCATATGATCCAAGAACAGTGATATGAGGGATGAGAACTGAAGTATGAAGATCTGTCTTATGATCTTATGACCATTTGTTACTGGCCCCTGGCATTTACCAACATCACAAAACTTATGCTACTCAAGGTAACTGGCCAAAAGCTCTTTGGACTTATTAATTTCAGTCATAAAGGTACTACTACACTGCAATGTAATGCACTGATTTATCATATATTTGGTTAAAATAAATTACATTATATATATATATATATATATAAAATGTGATTTTATTTTTCCTTATTTTATATTATACAATTCAATTAGATCCCCATTTCCCGGTCACAACCCACTGATCTACAGAGCGGTCCAGAAGTGAAGAGGCACAAAAAGAGCATCCAAATCTTTGACCTTACCTCATAACCTTGCAGCAGCATCATTCACAGTTTTAAATCACCTCTACACCATGCTACTAAGTCAAAGCCATTAGGTCTCTTTTCTTTTCTTTTTTTAAGCGGAGAGGCCTCTGTTGTGTAACAAACTATTAATAAGTCCAGTCTGCTTTTTTGGGTAGCAGCAGTTTGGCAGCCCAGGTCTGACCTTTTGCTGCTTTCCAGTACTGCAGTGCTCGAGGGCAATTCGCATGCACTCACATACATACAAATACAAACACAGGGTCTAAAAATAGGCCAGACACTCCCAACCTCGTAATACACAACTAATGTTCTGTTTAAGCCAATATAATGAATGGAAAACTAAATTATCATATGGGAAACAAGAGATTATAATGCCTCGACATGCCGGAAAAATCTAAAGATAAAAAAAAAGATGATACTACTCCAGAAAACGTCTGATGTATGCGTGCGAGTGTGTGTATGAACCCCAGTGGAGGGCTAATCTCTGCTTCTGAAAGTCTCACTAATTGAAAAGTGGTAGAGGTGAGATGGATCAGCAGTATACAAGGTGGGTTTATCGCTGTAAGGTGCAGGCAGCTCCCGTCCTAATGAGAATGATCTCACTCCACTGCTCAGGGTGATAAATCCACAAACACAGTGAGACATCACCCATTTAGCTTGAGATATACTGCAGATCTGGAGGCCTGGGAGGACAAATCACTTTTTCCTGAAGAGCTGTATCTAACAAATTCTGGATATCCAAGTTAAAACTCCATTTTAAAGCATCTGAGAATATGTTAAAAAATATATATATTAGCCCCATTCCAAAAGCATTTCAAGGTATCATAGGTGTGGTTGTAAGCATGCAATCCCTAAATGCACTGCAACGAGCTCAGTGGGAAAAAAAAAAATCCACAATGAACTGTGTTGAATGAAATGTTGATTACAAATTTATTTTAAATATACATTTTATTAAATCATTTACAATTAAATGTATATTAGAATTATGAATATTCAAATATTACACTTTTATTGAGAGTTAATATTTATAACAATATATAATATACTTTAATAAATTATAATCTTTAAATATTTATAATTATAACAAAGGTTGCAAAGACCGCATATAAATATATAATATTGTTTGATTACATTATTAATAAATATGAATCAGCCTGTGTCATGAATATTAATTAGGTAATGTACAGTCCTAACTGACTTGCTGAAAATGGGCGCTAGTCATATAAGGATCACTGTACACCACTTCCACTTCCGATGAGTCGACTGTCAATATAACCAGTTCCGTGACAGCTGCCTTAAAAGACTGCCGACTATGCAGACAGTACGCAGCGATACAACTTGCAAGGTTTTAGAACAAAAGCACAATGGCTTAAAAATGACTATGGGGCCATAATAAAGTATGAAATCGCACAGAAAAGAACAGCAAAATCAGCAACAGAATAGGATGTTTATCAGGAGAGCAGTGATGATAATTTAAAACGATGTAACGATGTAAAACAGGAATGCTGCAAGAATTTTTCTGGGTTACTCACGAAGAAAGTGCTTTTCCAGTAAGGCTATCTCCAGGTGACCTTTGACCTCATTGAGTCGGTCTGAATCACACATTTTGTAGTCCTGGTTGAGAGCAGCAGACATGGTGAGAGTCCCTGAACCAGCCTGGAGAAAATCAGTAAGAGAAATGATGAGAAGCTCAGAAGTTCATGAAGGCTCACTGCAATGACAGCAATACTAGTCTGAATCAACATGTTATGAAAAGCCAAATGGCCCAAAATCTCCAAACTGATCAGTGCATTAACAAAACCTGTTTTTGTCTGAACAATGCAGAAAATGGCCATGTAATGGTCTAATAAATGAGTGTCCATTAGGAGTCCAGTAAAAGACATTTCACAGATTTGTGCTCCAGCCTGCCAGAGACGTTACAGCATCATCTCCATGAACATAGAAGTTCAGCAAAACCAGGATTCAACAAATCACGGCTCTAGTCACCAACCGGAAGCCAGTGCGGCAGCTGTAACCATGGTGACCAGCTCATAAGCTTGCAGAGACACAGCGGCTCTCGTAGGTGAGCTTTCCAGTGCTTATCAAATTATAAGCAGCAAATGCAATTTCTTTGAAAACGTGCTTGGACAAGGCCGTTCTTTTCTTGTAAAATTTCATGTAAAACATCAAAAGGTCAGTGCTGAACACTGGCGGCATTAGAAACAAACGTCCACAGGAAAAGATACTGCAGCTTTACAAAGAAACTCTTGAGATTAGTTTTAGACTAGAAGGAATTGGAAGTCTGGGTGTGAACGATGGAGGGAAATCTCAGCTGCAACAACAGGAAGAGGTCATTTATACAGTGAAGCAAATGGATGTTTGGGCTGAAAGTCCTTTGGGAATCTGGCTGTCTGCCTCTTCATGCAATGCAAAGAACAGGAATTAAATACAGGCTTGAAGCGAGTGACGGGGAACACTTTTTTTATTACTATTATTAATGATCTGTTCATAAAACTCAAAATGAATATTTGTTTAATAATCAGTACAAAACATTTAGCCAAAACATTTCTAAAAAAACAAAACGGTTGGTGAATAACCCGACTCCACCCACACTGCTGAGAGTGTCGCAGAGATGAATATTGTCGGGGGGATACCTCGTAGTTTTTATTTTCCATAAATCATTACTATTGGTCACCCTTTATGTCTGTCTCTAGGTTTTGCAAATATTTAACAGATGAAAAGTATTAAAAAAAAGCTTGCGACAGGTCAGTAAAGCCTCAACTTCACCTGCCTCAATCTTGAATGAAGTGCCGCATGGAGTTTGAACAGTCTCTGCTTGTTTGCAATGCAAGGGTAAATAAAGAACTGGTTCTTTGAATAAGCACAGTGTTTACTCAGGAAACATTATATATGTAAAGACTAATGTTTTATGTATTTGAGGAGCGGAAAAGAGTGTCTCAGTCTAGCACAGTGGTTCTTAAAATAGCATGTGCGAAGCTATTCATCTTTTATAACATGAGATTTTGGCCAAATAACAAATTATTTTACCACCACAATAAACTTTATAAATCATAAGTTGATGAAAACCTAATGAGATGCACATACTGTCTCAGACGTGGCCATTTTAAGGACTCTGTATGTGCAAAAATCTCTGAAATTCGCTGGTCAAAAACCTTGTAACTCCATTTGCGCTTGATTTTGGTAAAATGTTAATAATATAAATGCCACATGAAAGTGTCCGGCCATGTATAAAGCCACAATTGTTTAAACAATAGTGTTTTTTCCATTTTTGTGAGATACACGGTTTCCGTCTAAAAGCGATGACCTGTAAAATACATTTCCTTTCAATAACAAATACACACAACAAAGAAAAAGGTGAGAAAACAGCCAATAGTGTGCACAGCCTAAGTGATTAAAGATTATGAATCCATTTTTGAATAACATGCATCAATTAATCATTAAAAAAAAAGGAATGGGAATAAAGAAATTAAAATAGAACTGAATGGTTTTCTATGACTGTTGTTATGAATTCTTCAAAATAGAGGTCTACACCCTTTTCGAAATGGCTTATTTCACAATCATATCGCATCTCTACAGAGACAAAACACTCAAGTTTAAAAAAAGAAAAGAAATCTTCAGCACTTTCTGACAGATGCTCCCTTAATATTCCCACAAATGAAGGAACGTCACTTACAGGGTCTCGCTGCTCTTCTGTGTCTTTGATAGAGCTCCGCTGTTTTACTGGGACGTCGTCATTACATTCGCTATCAGATGCGTTGGGGGACTCGGCAAGGTCCAGGAACTCATCTCGCTTCGGTCCTCTGAACCTTATCTTATCCAGACGCTTTAGCATGTTCAACACAGAGATCTGTGTCTTTATCTTAACATGGCGGCTGGCAACCCTGTAGGGACAAAAGCATTGTGTTGACATGAAACCGTGCAGCGATGAAGAAACGTACAATTGCACAATACTATCTTGATAAGATGCATTCTCATTTAGAACAAGTTCTGGCTTTTCATATGTTCATTGCACATACTGAATATGGAAAGTACCATGATACGAATATTTACACCCATTAAGAAACATTCTTTATATTATTGTCCAAGTGAAATCCAGAAGCGGAGTAAGACAAAGCCAGCCATTCTTAGCTCAGGAATAATGTGAAACTGACAGTCATTCGCTTGCACAATAATAGTCTCTCTGGACTGGGTATTGAGATCTGTGAAATGGGCCGCTTGAACTCGCTGTGAGAAATTGCTACAATCTCAAAGAGATCAGCTGATGTGGAACTAGTGTGGCCCAGCAACCCTGGTCATGTTTCACATGTACAGTATGTGGGTCAGAGGTAGAGGCGCCATGATCCTCACGGCCGTTTTGGCCCGTAGTGAGACCCTTGTCCAGTTTGAAGTGTGAGGAAAACCAGACATTTCCAATCTATCTAAGTGATAAGTAAAAGTTACTCACCTCCATGCTGTAAAAAATCTGTATGACGACTTCTGATTAGTAAACGAATCATATTGACATGATTTGTGAACTGAAAAGACTTGACTCGGAAGAATCTGTAAATATTGTCAGTACTGGATATTTATTGTACATGCTTAATTCCACTAACTTTTAGTGAGCGTTAAATTATGGTACTTTAAAACAAAAAAATCTTTAAAAACATAAATTGCAAACTTTTATAGTGCATTATAATGTTGTTGTGATGCCTAAATTCACTTGTAGCATCTAAAAATGAATGTTTTATTTTTTATTAATTTAGACAAAATAATGTTGAATGTTAAAATCAACCGTTCGGCCATAAAAATTAAAACAATTATTGGCTTATTGGTATAGTCTAGAATTTTAACTCCGGTGCAGCGCTATATAACAATGTACTATTCCTCAGTGTCATTTTAATATTTTCAGTTTCAGTTTCAATTCGTTTTTTGAAAATATTTCTATTTACAGTAGCTTTAACATTTTTATAAAAAAATTATAAATAAAAATAATTATAAAAATATTATAGTTAGCCTTTTTAGTACTTCAACTTAAACAAAAATTGAAACAAACAAATTTTAGCTATTGCCTTGACATTTAACTGATATAAAACAAGTTTAAGTTTTATTTGAAATACAGAAAATAATTTTTAATTGTTTTAGTTAATAACGGCACAATTCCTCACACAAAACTACCATATGGTCTCAGAATAAACATTTTAAAAACCACTTTTTTATATACTTTATGGGGCTTTTGCATCCTTTTCAAAGCTTGAAAGCCTCACTCACATTTTTGGCCCATAGTGGCTGTTTAGAAAAAAAAGTAACCACATTATTCAAAATGTTTCCTTTTGTGTTCCACTGAAGAGAGGAAGTCATACAGGTTTAGAACGACATGAGGGTGAGTAATTATTAATGACATCATATACATTTTTGATCTTTAATCTTAATACGTGCCAATTACTACCTACTGGAAACAGAGCATTCGTCTGTTAAATCATGGAAAGAAGCAGGTCATGAGCTATTGTGCTCTTCCTCAGGCGATGTCTTAAACGTCTTTGTGCATCTACAAACATTCCCTGAGAATGCTGAGGTTAAAATACTAACACAGCTTTGCAACATGTGACTGGATTATTTATACAAAAAACTCTCCAGGAACCAAAGGCCCAGAGTGGGGCACAAAATAACGCAATTGGTGTTCCAAACTCTGCATTCCCTGCAGTTAGTTGACCTTACAACAAACAAAGCAGGCCTGGGAACAAAGCGGCCGTATGCGTGCCTAGACACACAAAACCTCCAACCCAGTTCTAATTTCACTTCCAGAGCTCAGACAACATGCTGTACATGATAATGATAGGACTGAGGTTTAACACCAGCCGTCTTGTTCTTAAGCAGACTGATTTTGGCTTCCTGTGAATTAGAAAGGGACTTTTTTTTTTTTGACAAAAAGCAGACGTTTCAAGCAGCTCTCATGAGGGAAACGGAAATATATCTGCGGATGGTATTTATCACCCATTTGTCAGATTTACAATGTTTAAACTCATCAGGACGCAGCATTTTATGAGAAATTATGACAGGGTGTGACAACTAATCACAGCCTCTTTCTATAAAAGCTTTGCTTGTGAAAGAGTACTACATGAGGCCTAAAGTTAAACTTCCTTTCCTCTCTTATGTTTCATAGTATAAGAAAATGATTTCTTTAAAGGAACAGTTTACCTAAAAATGACACATGGTGTAACGCATTTTGATGCACCCTTTAGCTTTAATTAGGTCATTCCATGTCAAATCACCCAAATTTGAGAAACTTTCACATCTCATGTTTTTGATTTTGTAAAAAAAAAAAAAAATTCAGAAGACAAACATAATAGTGATGATGAAAGTCATAATATGAAATGTCATGTATGAGTATTTTTTTAGTAATCCACTATTCTGTAGAGGGGAGTCAAAATGACCATTTTCACCTCAGAAAAGTGACCCACGTTTGGTTTTTGACAACTGAAAATGGGTAATATTCAACAATTTGGACATGGAGCTGCATTGAGATCCCTATATCTATGGGATTTAAAACATAAGGCCTTAAATTAAGATACCAAAAGAAACGTTTGCCAAGAACCAGAATCTAAAATCATATTAAGATTAATCGTTAAAACTATTAATCGTTAAAAGATTGCGATCTTGATTCAAACACCTATACGCGATCTTATTCCTTAATGACAGTGATTCGCCTGTGTCTATTAAACCTTTGACAAGTACGATCACAGCGAACAGACAGAGCAGCGGTCATGTATAGATATGAAAAAGCTTCACAAACAGTCTTTTCAACCACACAGTATCATTCTTTCTGTTACAATAACCCAAGATAACATAGAAGTACTGCATGGGATAAAACCAGTTTATAGTTCGGATATAAACACTGATGTATATGGTGGTAGCAAAATACAGTAAATCACCTTTTGAAAGTAATGACGCTTCAAATAAAGATTGAATCAAACATCGCTACAGTAGGTGGTGAAAAGTGACCGTTAAAGAGATTCGTTCAAAAATGCTGATTCATCCAGTAATGAAGCAAGTGAAGTCTGTGGCTATGTCCTATGTGTGAAATCACCCCCATACCCTTAAAAAGGGGACTATTTGAGGGGACACCAATTTGTAGTGCACAACCGATGCGCTCGACGGCTAGAGAATACTCAATACACTGCAAGGGTCGTGCCAAATGAATTCCCGTGTCTCGGCAGAAGATCCAGAAGAATCATCCATCCATTTTCCAAACCGCTGGTCCAATGTGGGTGCAGCTGAACATAGTTATCAGTGCTGTCAAGTCGATTAATCACAATTATTCACATATGCACATAGACACACATATATAATATAAATAAAATTCTACACGCATATATAACGCAAACAAAAACGTTTATGTTAGATGCGATTAATCGATTTGACAGCACTGACCGGTATAAATTCCTTTTTAATTGATTATTAAATTGTTTAATTAAGCTTTCTACAAGCTAGTTTTCATGACAGAGTTCAAGATAAATCCTTTCATTACAACTGGAGCTGCCAGTTTGCCAAGGCCCCGTTTACACGAGGACGATTCCGGGTGAAAACGTAAAAATATTTTATCGGATGTGCCTTTCGTTTACACGGCAGCGGCGTTTTGGGGGCTCAAAAACGCAAAAAAGTGAAACCACCCTCCAGAGTGGAAATCTTAAAAACGCTCCACCGTCGCATTCCCGTCTAAACCATAGACAGTATAAGAAATGGACAGAGCCATCTCATTGGAACTCAGTTGAGACAGTTGAAGCCCATTTTTAGCGATTTTTGAGCACTTCCGTTCCTGACGCGCAGACTCAAACCGACTCAAACTAAGCTTGATGACGTGAGCAACCTGTCTGACAGACGTTAATCTTCTAGTAGCTGTGCGTGAAAATGCCAACGTTTATCTTGCAGAGACGGGGAACTTGAGCAAAGAGTTCTTTGGCGTGAGTGAGCAGGAGTAAGTATTCCGTTGCTTTTATGGACTCATTATCTATGGGCTTCTCTCTTGACGGGACGTCCCCCCGATTGCCTGCGAGCTTCTCCTCCTGTCTGTACGGTAATTTCTGTACAGCGCGACAGAGAGTCGAGTGGTTATGACGCAATCGTTAGCCTAGTTTTACAATATCTGTTTCTACGGGGCCATAATGTAACATAGAAGGTAATGGAGCTCTGTATACATTGTCGTGTTTCTTTAGAAATAAATAATGGACAAATGGAGTCTTTAAACGCCTCAGATGTAAAGTTATTCGCTGTCAAAGTGACGCCAAAATGAATGGGAGTCAATGGAAATGCTAACGCAAGTTAAGTTCTGCTACAACATGGCGGCACCCGGCCGGCTTCAACTTCCGGTCGATGGATTACCCCCTTGGTCTAAACGGTAAAAATGCAAATCTGCTCACGGTGGCTCTCGTCGCGTACGCGTTTACGTCACATGCATGCGCCAGTACAGGAAAATAACAACCGACATGTCAGATTATTTCCATACGTTGGACCTTCAAGTTGCCCTAGCAGCTCTGAAAAACATACAAGAGTCTTTTCAGCAGTTGTACAAAATATTCTAAGATCTTGGTGTTGTTGTGTGGCAGTGCTTCACATTGCCACCTAGCCGCCTGGAGTGCATACTACATCCAATTTCACACACTTTTGTCACCATATGCACGCAGATTTCCCAACCATAACGCTCGTCTAAACGCAGAATAAAAAGTGATAACGCAACGCCACTTTTGCGTTTTCTCTTCAGATCGTTTCCGTGTAAACTTAGCCCAAGTGACAAAAATGATTATTAACAGTGTCCGAATTCACTCACTCGTTTTCATTCACTCCTTCAAGTAAACTATATTAGTGGAGTACTGTAGGGAAGAGTGAATAAGGGTACAGGGGGCGTTTTCAAACAAATACTAAAGCATACTTACAGGTTACGATTCATAAACCGATTGTCCCGACAAAGTGGTAACTGCTCCATCTTTCATGAAAATCTTTTGTGGGTAGCTGGCATTGTACTCTCGTAGGTTCTGGAAGCTGTTCTCCGTAAAATTTGCAGCACACAGATAAACGCTGGGGTTATAATGTTCAGGAACAGTGTTAAAAATTCAAATTTGAAATGTGTCCGCCTTAGGAAGGCCGAACAAAAGGGTTTTGGAACCGGGGTGGAAAAAACAGCGTCTCTTCGACATGGCAACGAAACGCTACTAATGGGCTCTATGCACGGCGGTATTTCCGGTGAAGGTCAAGGATGCTCGATAACTTCCGCCGATCATAGAGTCCAATGCAATACCGAGAATTTATATTGAATTGTATACTCCATGGTTATACTAAAGAAGCGTTAGTCACAAAAACTGACAAAACAGACACACCTCGTTGTGTTTATGCTTCTTTTTAAAATTATATTAAATAAACATAACTATATATAAAATTACATCTAAACGTATGAAAGTTTCGTTTCAAAGACGGGAGGACAGTAAATTTTGAAGACTCTGCCATAATCCCGTTTTCCTCGGTTTTCCTCCGCTTTAATCTCCCCAACCGGAAACTGACGAGCATCCTTGCGTCAAATGCGGAACTTATGCGTGCATATAGCCTATAGCGCAGCTCGACTAGGCCTCGCCCCCTTTTTTCGCAATTCCATGGGCAGGATTATTTAAATGAGTGACATTGTGACTTCACAAGATCAGGAAAAAGCGCGTTGTAGTCCGAACGATTCGCGTTGTAGTCCCAACAAACGCCCAACTAAGAACCTTGCCAGAACATTAGCCAACATTTTGCGAACGTTTCCTGATAGCTGGGAATGTACAATTAACATGACAAAATGCGTTATAAAAGAAAACAACGTTCCATGACTGTTGTATTCCATTCAAGACGCTCTATTGTAATTCTATATTAACACCCATTACAATTACATCATAGGTAAACACCATGACTACCGAAACTATTTTCTCAGTACTGACGCCACCGGCGACTCCCGTTTCACTATCCCGACTCTGAAGAGGAGTTCAGCGGTCAGACTGATCTTATGTGCTCCCTTTACAGCGCCTATACTGGCATTGTGGCAATCTCCATTCCCCCATACTCTCTCCAAACACCATCCGCCCCTATTGTCAGAACCTCCGCAGCCTATTACTGTAGCTGTCAGCAATGTTTAGCGCCTTTTTAACATGCTTCCTCGTTCATTGAAATACCCTGTTAAATAATAAAAAGCATCTTGTTAACACAATGCTTGCTTTACCCCAATCATTCTGCATCTTCATTACCTCCCCGTGTATTTCAAGTTGGATCTCATCAATAAAACATCGAGGGTTGACACAGTTACACCATCAATAGATTGCCGACTAATGCCTTGACCTAAAAAGCCTTTCGTCACTATGGAACATCTTATAGATCGATGCCTTGTAGAATGGCGGCTTTCGTGTGCGTGCACAAAATTTAAAATTATTGTCTTACCTCGTCTTGACCGTAAGGGATGGTTGTCACATTAAGCCATATAATATATTAATTAATAGCGTGAAATAGACATATGTCCAGAAAACGTGCTGGGCTGCACAAAACTACAAACAATGTGGCACATTCGCTCGCGAGTCGCGCGCGCTGTAACGAGTTCGAGGTTTCGAATTCGAACGCAACAATGTAACAAAAGCTTCTTCAGTCTGATACATTGTAGCACGCGCCCCGCCCGTCGTGGGATTAACAACCAGAAAGGGGTTAGAAAGTTTCTTACCCACCTTGCACGGAATCCGTAATTAAGTTTCATTAACAGGAAGGCATGAATATTCGAGCTTCGCCCCGCTCCGTCGCCGCCACCTGCTACCAGCTCGATGAGAAATCCTGCGTAAAATGCCCAAGCAGACACATTGATCTAGCAATGCGACTCCATTAGCTGTCAGATGTTATTTGCAGCGTTATTGCGGATTAGAATCGCATGCGAACTGCAAATCATCATTTGGGGTATCTTTCGATCTGTTGTTGATATTCTGCAAGACTCACTTCACACCAGGAAATTTCGTCAATGACAGCGACAGAAGCTCTTAAAGGGGCCGATAATTGACAGTCGCTTCTTATCAGGCAATACTTATTCTTTTTCGTGAATTAAGTTAGCGTTCTTAAATTAGTTTCTGTATTGAAAATATTTTAAATAGGGCAACAACAGAGGGACTTCTGTGTCTCAACAAGTGAGGTGGACATTAATCCCATAACTCTGTCAATCCATGCTTAAAGTTTAAATGCGTCATATAGGCTACGCATACGAGGGTGAAAACAAACGCGGGGGTGTACATGTTTTTTAAGTGGACTTGTTTTGACGTGAATATAAGTCTAGACAGATATGTAACAGGTCTGGTTTGACTCGTTTTTAGGGGTGTTTGCACTGCAGTTCAAGTTAGCCTTGATCGCTGCTGGATGATTGTGTGTCCACTAGGTGGCGCTCAACGACAGTTTATTGTGTTTACATTTGAACAGCTGAACTTTGTCGCCAAAAAAAAAAAAAAAAAACTTAATCACACATTACCTTTTCTTTCTAAATAGAATGCGTTTTGTACGTATTTTATATATAACTGGTTTATTTTAGTCTTCATCACACAATAGCAAAACTATCAAATGGTACAATGAGAATTGTCATTGTTTTTTTGTTTTCTTTTTGGAGGTGGTATCATTGGTAAACTGTAAAATTGAAATATTACAAGAATTCTTAGAACAAGACCTTTTTTAACTATATTTTCAAATGTAATTTATTCCTGTGATGCAAAGCTGAATTTTCAGCATCATTACTCCAGTCTTCAGTGTCACATGATACTTCAGAAATCATTCTAATATGCTGATTTGGTGCTCAAGAAACATTTCTTATTATCAATGCTGAAAAACGTTGTGCTGCTTAATATTTTTGTGAAAACCACAATACATTTTCTTAGGATTCTTTGATGAATAGAATGTTCAAAAGAACATAATGTATTTGAAACAGATATCTTTTGTAACATCATACACGTTTTTACTGTCAATTTTGATCAATTTAATCCATCTTTCCTGAATATAAGTATAAATTAAAAAAATGTATATACTGACCCCCAAATTTTTAACTGTAGTGGAAATTGAAGGAAATGTCATTAGAAAAAATAAAACAGAAGAGTTTTACTTAATTTTTTAAAATTCATTTATTTACAATATTAAAATGTATTATCAGTGCGAATAGTACAAATATAAATACCTTATTTTACATGCTGGAATCTAATGTCTACGAGCTTTGACAAGTAATGGAGGTATTTCATGGATACACATTTAATGTGATGATATTGTTTGTTCAGTTAAGGACAACCGATCAATAAATGCTTCTAAACTATTACAGATTACATAGTTACTGACCTGACATCACTTTCACATAGATTGAAATTTAACATGAGTAAAAAAAAATAAAAAAAAAAGTCCCTGAATTTCTCCATCTATATATTATTTACATAAGAGGTTTGGCAGAGATAATAGATGACAGGCACTTTAGGAATCCTTTGATTCTCTGTTGGTAATTTAGATGCAGAGCAAACATAATAAAATACTGTTGTTCTATGTACAGCACTGGCAGAGACATTAAGACATGCTGAACATAAGCTGTAAAATACTGTCAGAGGTAATCAGTGTAAACTGCCCATTGAACCCAATAAAGAACCCAATGACAGACAATGTGTATGATGGACATTAATAATTCATAAGAAACTGGGGGGAAAAGAAAACCTCAACACATTTACAAATTAAGCTACAACTGCAAAATGCACAATATATATAAAAAACAATATAAACATTCAAAACAGTGCTGTAAAAATACCACAGTAAACAAGTCAAACATAAATATTCAGTATTGGCATCACAATGAAACCCTAATTTACAATTTTACAAAACAACCCTATTACACATCTAAAATACAAAATATAACTATAAACATTACTTACAAATCATAAGTCATCTGTTTATGACTGATGCATTCTGGAATAAACTGTACAAATGCTTATTAATATCAAAGTCTTTATTTTTGTAGCTCCAGAACAACTTTATCCATTTCAACGAAAACTTTCTGTCCTCATCCAGCAGAACTTGGGCAACGTAGTGCTTTGGAATGCTGGGACACAAAGCGCCCAGACTCCATTTGTATTAATCGAACCTTTAGAAAATACTAAAAACCACTTCAGAGCAGGTCCATGTTGTGCTTTAATACTAGTAGGGAGACAGACACTGATTCTTCAAACCCCTTCCGGGTCATTCACCGTCCTTCACAGTGAAGACTCAGATTGAAGTTTCATTGCTGCCACTAACAAGAGAAATACAGAGCGGTGTTACATTCAGAACGTGACCAAATAAATTAGGATGATCAGCATTTGACATCCAACTCACTCGGAATGGAAGTCTTGGTCCGCCAGGGAGACGTGGCTGGTGCCGAGCTCCACAGCGATCCCGTTCAGCGCAGGCTGGCGAGGTAATGGAGGTGGCTTGATGACGATGCTGTTGGCCTCGGTTCCTATGCGAACGCCCTCGTTTGACCCCACCGATGGAGTCTTACGGGGGATCTGGGGTGGGTTGTAGTCACTGAGCTTCTCCCTCAAGCGGTTCTTCATGTTCTTGTCCGTCAGTGGGGGTGGGTATGTGATCTTGTTCTTTAAAATGCCTAATAAGAGTGAAGCAATAATATAATATTAAATTAAATTAAAAAAAAAAATATATATATATATATATATACACACACCGGTATATGATATATAATTATATTATACGTTGCCTAATATCTATTAAATATTATTTTAATATTATAAAATATATAAAATACAATCTTATGTAAGCATGCAGAAAACGGATTTTTTTTTTTTTTTTTACATTTACAGTACTAAAATGGTTTCATTCTCTTAATGATATAAATAAATCTAAAATATATGTATATTGTATAGAGCGTTGTCGCTCACCTCTTCTGGGTAGCTGGTTGCTGTTTGGCTGACTGGGTGGACTCTCACTTTGAGACACATCTCCATTTTGGTTTAGTTTATTCCCTTGATGAAGTTCCACATTCACTTTAGTTTCCACCCGCAGTTTCTCAGGACCCCCCGTATTCTCACTTTCACTGGCTGTGGGCGGCTCCACAGGCCAATACTGCTTCCCATGACCAGACACAGCATCAACTGCAGAACAACATGGGTACAGTTATCTAACATCCAAATTTAAAAATGAATTTAGATATTTATTTTATGTCAGGAATGAATATCTTCTGGTGACTGACAACTATATATCTCAATTTGTTTAGTGTTTGCTTGAATAAACCATGTAATAGAGCAGGTCAGAGGTCACAGAAGAGGTCGCAGGCACCTTTAGGAGTGCTGTGGAGGGGCGTTCTCTCGTTATTCCATTTGGTCTTGGAGTGCCTGGCCTCGTCCTCGCTGTCCGAGGAGTGAGAGGAAGCGTAGGAGCTGCTGTGCTCGTCCACTGAGAGCTCACTGTCCGAATCCGAGTCTGTATAGAAACAACAGAGAAATTAGCCTCTGATCACAGAAGTGCACTAGTTTAACCATAATTCATTGTTTGTTTGTTTTCTGCTGATGCTCTCCTACTGACTACTAACTAACAGAAGAGCTTTTAGCATATGGCTGCTTAATAAAGTGCCTGAATTTTCCTGTGGAACAAAAGTTATGACACCAGTTGACCCTTCAATGGACTGTGTATGTTGTGTTTTTAAGTGTAATCTTCCATCACCTTCTGCCTTTTTACTCTCATGGAAAAAGAGCGACGAGTCTCCTTCATCATGTCCCACTTTTCCACCATTAGACGATATGCTGTGTTTCTTCTCCCTGTGTGAAAACAACATTAAAACTATGTATTAAATATTAAGAGTTTGTTGTGGAGTCACACTAAAGTTATTTGATGACAGTAAGTTGATAGTGAAATCTTCACAAATGCAGCAGCTGCCAATGACAAATATGACAACCAGGGTTTTTTCATTCACTAGCTAATAAAATGTTCTCTGAAAATGTCATATGCCTTACCGGTACATTTTGCAGTAAGTAGAAATGTGCGTTTGAGAGATGAATCAATACACATTAGATTCAATATGTGATCCATGTAACACATGACACTGTGCTGTGAATTAGGACACCATTTACAATACTGAAGGGCTCTGTCAGTTATGGTAAACAAAAATCTGAGTCATAAATATGGCCAAAGTGGCCCCATTGATAGTCATAATATATTTAGTCTCATCTAAAGATATTCAGTGGAGTGACCTAAAAACCGAATGCTCCTTTTATGCCTGGCTCACACTACAGGAGTTTTAAAATCCTAACCGATTGTGAAATCTGGTTGCAGCTCACACTTAAGGAGAATCTTTGCAGATTTTCTTCCCTCAAATCTTAAACATGCTCACACTACAAGATTTGAAAATCGCGGCGCATCACACACTACACAATGTTATTAAGATTATCGTGCCAGAGGACGTGATCTCACGCAGCAGATCGGAAGCAGAAAAGTGGATGTAAACAAAATATCTGTCCTTCATATCAAGTCATATTCGTGAAAAGGTTGCCGTGACCAAGGAAAGAGAATTAAAAATAAAATAAAAAATCATCCTTTATCTAGGCTATTTCTAATTAATGGCGTCAGCTCTGGTCAATACAATGAATCAATGCCATTGATCTCTATGAAGTGAAGCATCAGCTTCGCGTTGCCCATGCGCCGCATTGCTGCTCAGCTGAGCCTTGTAAAGTGGAGCTCAAAGTTAAAATTAAATATTAATTAACAGCTTGTTTCATTACATCTATATTTGAATGAATCCGCATTTTTTTTTACATTTCCGTTGAATGAACAGTTTAATGACTCACTCAAAGACAGTCCTTTGTCGCCACCTAGTGGCGTAACAATGTAACTGGACTGAGCGAGTGCCGAGTAAATGGTAAAATATAAGCAGAAGCCTTTAGTAAAGAAAGATTCAAGGATCAAAACTAACTGTTATATAACAATGGCCTAAAAAGCTTATTGTCAGGTTTATGTTCT